GTGCACTCCATGTCGCTTTCCATCCGGCGGGAGCAAGCAGCTGCTCAAAGGGTGGCAAGCTGTGACAGCACACTGTCATTTCTTAGATGGTGAGAAACTGTCTTTCTCCACAATATTTATTAGGATTTCAAATTGAAAAGTACAATTAGGTTCAACCTGTAATGACACAGACTAATCTTGGTTGGCAAAGAGTTGTGATGAGGTATCAGAAGAAAGAAAATCTGCAACAAATCTGACAAATTGTCTTTTGTATAATGCAGAGCTATAGAGGGCAGGTGACGGCAGATGACCGCATGACTAAGTGCAGTTTTGCCTAAAATATTGCACCAAAGGAATTATTCTCTTTAGCTGTGTAAAGTTAGGTTACCTCTAAAATTTGCCTCTTTTTCTGTCGCGGATTAGCCCACAAAGCTCTGATGCTAATCAACAATAGCCAACAGCTTCCGGCACATACACACGTCCCAGCTTTGCACGTAAACTTAAAATACTTAATGATAAGGATAGAGTGAGTACATTGAAAAGAGAGAGTATGAACAGAGACAGAAGTAGACAAAAGACACAGGACACAGACACCGACTCCGACTCCGGCAGTAAACACAGTATAAGGCCTTTATGAAATCTGACTCAACTCATTACACAGAGCTGAAGAGAGACGGCAGGTGAGAGTGAACGAGACCAACCAGGCAGTTTATTGAAAATGAACCGCGTTCGAAGCATTTTGCCTCAAGCTTTTAGACACGCACACACCCATAAAGAAACTTGCCTCCTCAGCACTTACGTGGACTGCATGTCATGACACTGTCTGATATTGCTCTCTTTCTGCCACTCATTCTGCACCACTGGGATTCAAAAGCTATATAAATACACCACACACACAACACTCAAACACTCACAGTAGAGCTACTGATCACCTGCATGTGAGTTTAGATGTAAATGCTAGAAGCAGCCACATTAGGAAAACACTGTGTCATTTAATTAGTGATTATTTTATATGTATTACACATTTAATACTCTGTGAAAAGAAGACGGGACATTAAATAATAGTCCAGACCAGACCCAGGAAGTATCATGTTATTGGTGGAACAACCATTCAGTGGTGGTGAATGCTGTTGTGGTAGTAGTGGCTTTGAACTCAGAGCTTTGGATGTTGTACAGTTTGCTTTGACTGGTCTGGAACTCTGAAGATAAAGTTTAATTGGAAACTGCTGTCACTGCTTCCTCTCTTTTTAGAGTCAGTCCACCTTTACATCTTCAACATGTCCAAAGTTTTCTGTCCTAAAATGTATATTCGAAGAAAAAAAAATCATGAAGCCGTGTTTGACGTGGAATAACCTTCGCCTGAGTGCCTCTGTCACAGCACGACAGCAATTCTCTGTATCTGCAACACATATATCACCTTCACACCACAAAACTCATCAACAGTTCATCAACAGTTTATGAACTGTTTCCACACCTATCAACAAGGTGAGGAAAAAAAAACTGCCTTTCCTTGCGGGATGAGCCAAAAACAGGACAATGTGAGCACTGTGCTCATCACAAATTTGATTAAACGCTGGATGGATGTAGCAAAAATGAGGAATGGTGATGGAGAGATGAGGGAAAAGGTGGCAGCACCAAGAGGTTTGCCATGGAAACTGGCTGCACTAAAAGCAACTGTCTCTTCAAACGCCAGCCACAAACTCATCCTGTCACCAGGCGATCTCTTGCTCTGCCCGACCTCCTAGCGTCCACACAACATCTGCAGCACCCAGAGTGCTCATAAGACAAATTAGACCAGGATGTGTTGCTCATTGTTTGTTGGTGTGATGCAAACTTCTCTTTCCCTCCGAGCAGCATGGCTCCTTGTTCTCACCATGTCGTTGGCAAAGAGGAAATGCTCATTAGAGGATAATTGGGCCGCTGTGCACTCAAGCTGTATGGGCAAATTTGAGTTTCCTCCTCGCTGTATGGTGACATGGCAGCACAACAAACTGAGACAAAAGAAAAAGTGAGATGTCTACACTGTCTGTTCTAAAACGATGTAGCCTACAGCAATGAGTCGAATGTGCCAATCATGCAACAGATAGCAACGGGCAGACAGAGGTTTGACAGAGAGAAGGCCTCTCTGGCCTGACTTTCACTTCTGCCTGCGTGTGAGACAGAAACAGTGACTGTGTATTGGTTTTTGTGTGTGTGTGGCACCGTGCCATCCACCTTGCACAGCCATTTTTAGATGGACTTTGGGGAGCTTTTTAAAACAACCGTCTAGCAGTCTCACTAAATCATGTTATTTATGACTCGCTTTTTTTTTGTAACTCTCTCGAGGCAATCTTTGCTAGAATTTTATACCATATGCTGCTGTAATTAACTGCCACTGTAAACAGCCAAAATGCCTCTCAAAGGCACCGGCACATGAAAATAGAGCACAAACGTTTGTACATGTTAGCTTAGAAAAAGAGAGTTATTGATGATACCAGCTGGATGCTTCAGTGCTCAGTTTAAAGTGAGGAAGCAATATGGCAAGGAGAGTGTTTGACCATCAGCTATCCCAAAAAATGCCTTGTTAAAGGATCAATACACGACATTTAGAGCATTGTCATAGCAGCAGCAGTTAACGCTTTTAGCACCATTAGCCATGACCCGCCGTCTCAGGAGTAGCCATGCTGAGAACTTTTGAGAAGCAATCGAAATGCTCAGAATCTGGTATTGTGCACCTTTAAAGGGTGCGTTCACCCAAATTACAAAAAGACATCTTGCCACGCAAATAGTTTAGCCTTCATGTGCTACTGTAGTAGCTTATACTTTCTTTTCCTTTCCATGAGTATTACATTCAAACAGAGTTTTTTTTATTCCTAAACAGTTGCTTTGAGGCACTACATCCTGTAACTGTGTATTGATCCCTAGCTGTGCTCCAGTGTCAGGTAACACCGTCCCTCGTGAACACTTTGCGTCTGACCTCTTTATACATACCTGCCATGATGCACATACACATCTGATCACATGTGAATGCAGCAGCTGGGAGACAAACACTTGAAATATGAGAAACGTGCAGAGCTTGATTCTATCCTGCAGGTAGACCTTCATCCGTTATAGCTTTTACGTCCGTCATAAGGTCTGGCAGATGAGTGACGGATTTGATTTAGCCTCCATTTAGCCTGCGAGTGTTTGCTGAGCATGCTTTTGTTAGGTGCCTGTGGCTCTTTGATGTTCAATAGAGAGGAATGTTTCCTTTTTTTCTTCCTTCACCTACATTTTCCCAATCAGGTCTGTGGAAGTGAACCAGTTGCTTTGTGGTCAGGAGGTCATGCCTTTAAACTTCATGCTGTTGTCGCCCTTTTGCAACCATGAATGAGACACAGAGGATCGAGAGAGAACGAGTTGGTTGATCAGACAGTGGCTGCCCATAGGAATCATACACCAAGAAATAGAAAACACTATGTCAGACATCAGCTCGGGCAGATGGTTGTGAGGATGAGAGTGTGAAGCTAAATGTTCCTGCGAGTGTCTCTTTGGTCCACCGGGGACACTTCATTGACTGGCTGGTAGATTAATTTAATTCCCACATGGGAACCAATGGTCACGAATATATTTAGCTACAATAAACACAATAAAAATAACAGTGGCTTTGCGTGTGCGCGGCTCTCAGAGGTCGCTGGCGTGTGATATGAGATTTGACTGCGAGGATAATGAGTCTGGCTGACTGTGCTAATGATCTGCTGTGTTCAAGGATAATTAGTCGTGGCTCTTCTTGGCAGGTTTCAAAGGGATCAGGATACATTTGTTATTGTTTCACAAACAGTTGTTCTATTGTACAAATCTATTGTGCATATTGAAAGCATGAGTGAGGCTGCAATAGATACACCTACAGCACTGTGTTGCTTTCAATCCAGGGTTGATAAAAATGTAAATGTAATATCGCGAAATAAATACTACACTAATTATATGATAGATAATGATATACATTTTACATTCTTAAAATAGGAACAAGAGTTTGTGTTGTTACCTAAGCAATGTGAAAGCTTATATCTGTACACTAGTGTAATAATGACTACTGTATCAGGTAGTAATCAATACACCGATCTCATTTCTTCACATGTCATGGAAGGACAAACACAGGAGCATTTAATAACAAGAACAATTATTGATTTCCATTTATCTGCTCATCGACTGCAGCATTATTAATGTTGTTGTGGTTCGGCTCAAAGCACTTGGTGAAGGTTAGAGTATAAGATTGTGGTCTTGGTAAAATAATCAAAAGGTCAACACTGATTCGAAAACTTGTTTACTTTATAAATATTTAAAACCACAATCTTCCCAAAGTGTCCCACAACTTTTGTGTGGTACAAGAATATCGCAGTGACTTGATTGCCAGTGAACATATTTGCTGCCGGCCATTACATTGCTTTCAAAGCGTATTAGACAAAACAAATTAGCAGTGCTTAAACGTCATTTCCAGGACACAGGGTCTGATCCGGCTAACAGAGCCGTCTCATCACCACCAGAGAAGTGGAAATGTGTCAAATTAAAAGGAAACAATGGCTTTATGTAAAATAACCATAACATAGTTTACCAGCTTCATTTATCTTCACATCCTCATTACCCTTATAAAACATGCTGACCCTTACTTTGGTCTTTGTCCAAATGTCTAATGTTAATGTTTGTTTCTGTATCGATTGCTTTGTTTTGTTAGTCGCTGTCTTTCTCTGTCTCCCTCCTTGCTCTCTACTCTCTTTCTTCCCTCTTTACTTTCTTCTCCTTATCCCAGCCTCGTTTTCTTTATATGAAAGCCAGAACTTGCAAGGTCATACGTAGACCAACATCTTTGTGTTAAATTCCCCTCTATATCATGTTATGACCTGCTGAGCTGTGCATTAAATCAGGGGTCGTGTCAGCCAGAGCCGCCAGCTAATGGGAGCAAGGTCTGGGCACTTTGGCCTTGTTTTTACAGTAGTGATGAAGAGAAGAAAACACAGCTTGCAAATCAATGTTGTTCTCCTTCTCTCCCTCTCTCTCTTTTGCAGTCTCAGCAGAAGTGCGTTGTGATCTTTGCCTTGGTGTGCTGCTTCGCCGTACTGGTGGTGCTGATTTTCTCTGCAGTGGACATTTGGGGCGAAGATGAAGATGGGATCACAGAGGAGAACTGTAGCAGGAACTGCAGGTGAGAACTGCAGAACCACAAACACACGATTCATTTTCAGTGGTTCCTAACGTTTGTCTTTTCGACACCTCGTCGCAATTAACTTGTGGCCTTAATGGCGGATGTCAGCCCCGTGTTAAAACACTGCAGGGGGGGCTGCACTGGTGAGGTGCGCTGCTTCAGGGACTTTGTGTTGGGTCAAAAGTTGAGCCAGGTTACATTTTTCCAGATGACCCTGCATTTTTTGTTTTCTGGAGAAACTCTGTGCTGTCTTTTTGTCAGTAGGCTACATGCAGTTGTGTCTTAGCAGTACGATATGAAAGTCGTGTCGGACTATAAATTACAGTCAGTTTGTTTTTTACTGATTCAAAATGATCAAAAATGTCTGCTTGCAAGTTGACAACCTGTAAGGGAGAATTGACTGACAGATGAATTCACAGAGTGTGGATTGCGACCACTGATAGCACCGTGAATTGTATTGAATTGGATCACGGTTCACAAAAATGACTGATATTACAGAGAAAACACACCAGTGCAATTTGACCTTTTTTATGAATGGAGAGGGAAGATAAAAATGGTTGATTAGTTTCCTATAATAACCTTATTTTTAATAATTCTTTTCTCATTACTTTATTTTTCATGACACAACTGTCATTGCATCCCAAAGTACAAGCGTTTAAGCGGGGCATGACGAGGCCTTCGCCTGGCTACAACTGCTGCTATGATCAATGCAAGTCTGGGAGTGACACCCCATATGAATGCGCTTCAGTTACCACCGACTCTCTGAAGACGCTAATTATGTCACTGACACTGCGTGTGGCTATTAGCGCTGATCTTCGTGAATTGGACTGTTTTTGCAATGAGGCTCATTGGCAGTGCATTTCAGCCTTTTGTTGGAGCTTTGAGATTGGGCAATTTATTGTTTTGTCTTATTTGTGCAGGTTTAGTAGCCACGAAAGCTGCACAGTCCTTACATTTGCCCCTCAGAGTTTATTTAAAGCAGCTACGATGTGTAGAGCAAAGCAATAGAGCAAATATATTGTAATAAATAAACCTTTTGAAACCATGGTTGATGTGACTTGGGACCATTGGTGCCAGTTGCTTCTATGGATTTAACCCATTTCCTTTAAATCATTTGGCTCGCCTTGGCCTTGAACTTCAAGCTGTTAACTCATTCCAACAGCTTCCAATGCTTTATATTGTTTTTTAGCTCCAGTTTCGAATCATAAATCAGGTCTAACCCACTGTAACAAGATATTAACTGCAGCGTAGCGCCTGCAAACTCCACAGAAATTGCTTGCAATCATTTCGAGAGAGTATACTGTTGAGTATACAAAGTAAAATATGGTACATGCCAAGTAGCACCAATACAAAACAAATCTGTGCTGCCTCAACCTGATCCTATACTGCAGCCTCCCTCGCTATGCTGAAATGATTACCAGGCTCTTCTGAAAGTTACTTTATACCAGACTTTAGGCAATTTTCCTCCTATTTAAGTTTTAAGAATATGGATCCCAAGGAAAAAAAGCCTGCAGTATGACTTGGTGGTCCAGAGTGAAACTGGCTGATCAGCAGTCATTTTCTCTGATACAGCATTCCCCCCTCCATTAGACTCCCAATTTACCATCCAACCTCCAATTACTTCCCCCTCTCTCTGCCTCTTTTGTTTTGTCCGTGTCCATCTAGTATTTCCCTCCTCTTCCCCAAATCAGCCATTTAACAACCTTTCAGAGAACTCTATCAGGCATCCCTCTCTTCCACTTAAGGCTGAAAGTGTAATCCAAACTTGTAAAGCTGAATTAGACTCCTCTTCTGCTGTGAAGGACCCCTAAAGCCTGAGGGAGAAGAAATGAGAGATAAATACGAGGCTTAGGGAGGGCTGATGGGTGAAGGAAGAAGAAGAAGAAGAGGATATCAGGGTATTTGGGGTTGGAATGAGTGAAGATGAGCAGATTCATCAGCTGCTGTTTGCAGCTCAAGACACAAACGCATTTTAGAAATGTGTGCAGTCACTTTCTCAGGGGTGCACCATTACTTATATCCCATAAGCTGAATAATGAACTTTCACTGCGACATTCATCATTGGAAAGACCGATAACGTGCGTGCAAGTGAGACATAATTGATATTTTCCTCAAACCGAGTTGCTGTACAAAATAGGGAAAGTGATATATTACTGAGACTGACACGGGCGCACTGAGGCTTGCTCATGCTCACTTAAATTCCTAAAGGTGCTTGTAATTTATCAAAGTAATGCTTGTAAAGCCCTTTTCATGAAAATTATTCAGTGATTAACTTCAAAATCATCCCTATTTCTTCTCAACAATCTAAATACAGCAGACTGATCCTCTATGTTGCCTTGTTTTGCGTCTATTAAAAAATATGTATTTTGAGCCTTTTAGCCGCCCAAATAATGACTCAGGAGATATTTTGTTTGTGATTTTGTACGTCACACAGCTGTTTTGTTATGTAAATTTCCCTTTAATCTATTTTTCCTGCATAATGAACAATGCTAATGCTTGCATCTCAGGGACAGGAGACGTGGGATGAGTTGCTGCTGTGCATCGTTACTGATGCAGATAGATGATGAAGATCACTTCATGTCTTTGTCTAGCAGTACAATCAAACACATCATTTATTTGATTTATATTATTCCCTCTGAGGAGGAACAATTTCAGCTGTGATTGCAGTAAAACATTATTCCTCTTCACATCAGTGTGTGTAGCTTGGTTGTTGGAGCAAAGTGGTAGCAGTTTACACCCTCTCATCTGACGTATCCCTGATGTACATGAGTAATTGCCTGGCGTCAAGCAGCTGATAAGCAGGTTAGTATTGATTTACAGTTGCCTTGTGGAAGGGCAGAACCAACGGAGAGCCAGACTTACTGCGTCTCAGAATTTTGTTCAACTTTTAGCACCCAGACAGTCGACTGTTTCAGGATACAACTTTTTTTGCTCTTGAAGCAAAAGAAGTCAAGCATTAGTTAGCTAACATCAGTTCAGCCAGCTAGTTCAGTTGGTTATGCTACCGTTACACCTGGTATTCTGTTGGTGTCAGAATTTAGTAACTAATACTTCAGTGATGCATAAATCTCCACTTAGTAAACAGATTTGTTGTAACTAGAATAACTTTGAACTTCAAAAGAGATGACACAACCGGTTCCAGGAGAATACACCACACACACACACATTTCAGACTTCAAAAGCACCATACAGATCTGAAGCCAACACAAAACAAGAACAGCAACAGCCGGATTAGAAAAACAACTGAACAAGGCACAAATATATATCTACTGAACTAACAAAATGACTCTCTTAAGCGTGTAGAGTCTGGCTACATCTAGCGGTGAGGTTGTAGATTGCAACCAACTGAAACTTCTCCCGTGTGCCAAGCTTATAGAACTACGGTGGCTGCCGCGAGAACACAAAAACAGCCCTATCTACAGCCAGTGTTTGGTTTGTCCTTTCTGGGCTACTGTAGAAACATGGCGGCCTGCTCCGTGAAGAGGACCTGCTCTGTATGTAGATACAAATTGCTCATTCGAAGGTAACGAAAACTCAAGGATTGTTATTTTTAGCTGATTATACACTAAAGAATACATACTTATTAATAATATATTCCTTTCTGCCAATAGATCGAGAGACAACTTGGGTGAAGGTAGCTTAGCGTTGGCGTCTCTGAGACTCAGCGACCAGTATCTGGAACAGCAACGCATACAGTATCGTCTATAGTGAGCTCTGATTAGTGGGTGCAAAGTATTGGCCATTTGTCAAAATGTCAGGGAACACCCAAGAAAAGCAGTCGTGACATACAATGTAATAAATGAAGCACTTGCAGTCTACATTCATTTCCATAAAACACATCATGGGAGGATCATGGCTAAAGAAACATTTCATGAAGTGGCTCATGTTTCAAGTAATGGTTAAAATTTACATATAAAGTGTGCTGCATACTATGGCAGTGTTGTCGATGAGACATTGGACGTGACATTTAGCCACCTTTAAAATGAACAGCATGCAGGGAGCAGAGCAGCAGCAGCCTGTGATACCCATATTAATGTCCTGGCTGCAGTACACCCAGAGCTCAGGGCAGCTCATGAGATGGTGGATGATATATATCAGATGTCAGGGACTGGCAAAGCTCATGCTGTCACTCGGTACAGCAGGAACACAGCATCACAAGCATTTACATGTGTAATTAGCATTTTTACATACAGTTTCCTAACTGTGAATTGTATATGATGAGTTTGTTTAACATTTAACCTGACAGCTATTTAATAGTGTAAAAAATGTTATTATGTTCTGCTTTTTGGAATAAAACATCAGGACGGAGAGTTTATCATTTTGATCCAACTATCATTTTTAACCTACCACACTGTGAAGATGTGAATCCTTTATCAGTCAGAGAGTGAGGGATTTTACATTCAGACTGTCTCATGTATGCACACACACACACACGCACACCGCAAAGTTTACACCACTTAAGTATCGGCTGCTGTGGATTAATCACACCCTTGATGGGTTTTAAAGGAGGGGGGACCGGCAGTGGGCATCACAGACCACATAAATCGATGAAGCCCTTGTAAGCAGAGACGACTCTTGCTTTCTCCATTTTTAATACCAAAGCCTGTCTGCCTGTTTAAATGACTCAGAAGCACCGTTCATCAAACCTCCAGGTCATTACAGTGGACTGAGAGGATTTCTTTCAAAATAAGATTACCTCTCCATCGCTTCCATCTGTTTTCCATCCACCCTTGTTCTTCCTCATTGTTAGGTGTTTACTGTAGCTGCCCTAGTTTCTGCCGTCTTCAGAACAAAACGGACTCTCCGCTGTGTGATGAGAATGTTAATCTTCTCTATAATTTCATCCCATCCCGCTGTGTTGGTTTGTTTGTGCCTTGTTACACTCCTCTTTTCATTTTACTCACCCTGTCTTCAGTCCGCAAGCTCTGTGGCTGACAAGCGGAAGAATATCTGACCTCAGCAACACATGAGCCAACTTTACTCGAGATTCTCCAAGTTCACATAAGATGTTGACTGTCATTTCAATGAGGAGAGATCAGCATGTTATGAGCACAGAGGGTGTGACCCCTACAGTTTGACCTTTGGCCACTTTCCAAAACCTGACTTAGCTTTACTTTCACCAGGAATACATTTTCAAGCTGGGAGCTGGCAACTGGCCCCTCAATGGGATGCAAGTACATTATCACCTGCAGCAAATGCTCTCACCAGTGTGCCCTTGAGTGAAGCACTCGAAAGATACTGAGCTCTCACAGTTCAGCTGACCCTGTGCGCTGACTGGTCCTAGTGCTAAGATCCGTTTGGTATTATAGAGCCCTCGCCAGGGAGTCCACTTTGTTCTACTGTCAGAAATATGACAAAAAAACACGACAACAATTGTTTGCGGACTGCCGGTTTGAAGCCTTGAGTTTGTCATTTTTGGCCATTGCCATCTTGGACTTTGGACGTCGCCATCTTGTTTTTTTTTGCAACCAGAAGTGGCACAAGAGGATGGAGCTAAATACAACCCAAAAGCTGAATAAGATTTCATCACCTGAAAAGAATTGAAGAAGGCTTACAGCTCACCTTTCAATCTAATTTACATTGTATTGATTTTAAATTGTGAACAACATAACAGGAACATTATTTTGATGCATCATATCAAGAGATGAAATAAATCAGTTATTTCTTTTACCACTTCTTCGTGTGTGCAGCATATGACTTATTCATGGGACCAACCAGCAAAATGAATAACACATTCAGTCACAATGGCATCCTGTCTATGTCTGCACTGATAACAGTATTGGTTTTGAAAGTAGGATGTCGGTAGATTAAAATAATAAAGTCATGTTTATTAAGAAAGATTTATCACTATGGACACCCTCTAACTCCATGCTCTAAGGAGCCAACAAACTGAATGTATTCTAAAATGCATCACCTCACGAGGAATTGAGTGAAGTCTTTTGCAGAAGTAGTTCTGAGTTTCTTGGAAAGCATTTTATCCAGAAACTTAATCAGCCATTGAGGCGCAGAATTTATGTCAGAGTTTTCCCTCAGTGAACAACCTCTCCACATTTTTATTTCTCTTATAAAATCTAGCAGGCAGAAATCGATGTCTAAGCCAGATACAGAGAGCATGTGGGGAGCAGTAGAGCTTGACAATAGGCTGGTTCTGTGTGGCTGCAGATCTAGGGCTGCCACGGCTAATTCGGTCTGTTGACTCCAGCGCTAATGCCTCTGTCGCTTTCAGGCATTAGGAGCAACATGGGAACTGAAGATACATGAGTTAAGCTCAGAGTCATGGTTGGCCAAATAAATTGACTTTACACCTTGGCAGAAAGTGCCGGGATATTCACAGGGATATATACAAAACGTTATACTGCAAAACAACTGTTTCACATCAATACACTTTTCAATTTGGTGGGACAGTTTTATGATAAACAAAAATACCTGACTGCACTGAAGCTTATTAAGGAGACAATCTCAAGGATGTATGTTTATTCTGTACGCCATGCAGTCCACTGATTCCTTCAAACAGATTGATATCGCCTCCGTATATGAAGTAATTATGCCTGCTGTAGTCTCTCATACTGCATCAGAGTGCTGATGATTACAGTAATGCACTGTGTGATAGCTTAGGGAGTAGTGTGTATGAGAAACCAACAACAATATGGCAAAGATATGTCACTTCTCCCTGACGTGTAATTGAATCTGCATTGGCGACAACTCTGCCCATCAACCTTACATTATGCTCAGCCCCTGCAGAGGCAATCTGTACAATATTTAATGATGCTTGGTGGAATCAAAGGGCATGTGTGGTCAAGGAATCGTAATAACTCTCATTAAGCTAACGATCCAGAGGAAGGGCTAATTTGTCAGTAGTATGACAGAAGGAAAATAACCTCATATTAATGGCACCCAAGCTCATAATAATTCTGCTGCAAATGCAAACAGATAATTGCTTTGTGAAAGAACACAAACCTCACATTCATTTCCTCAGCATTTTTTCCATTAACAGGTCTCTAAGGCTCAGCCTAATGATGCACTTTTGCAATTTTCTTTTGTGATGCAGGTCCTTTATTTAAAAAATAATTTACTAATTTACTTGTTATTTCTTTGTTATTTTCCTCAGAGTGGTGCTTGTGGAGAACATCCCAGAAGACATCTCCTTCTTAGACAATGGTACATCTAATCTCCCGCTCTTAGTGGGGTTGTACGACTTGCTGGACCGAGCTACCCGGGTCGTGGAGATAGTTTCCCCGCTGTGGCTCCTCAACTCCTCCGATTATGAATCCAGCTTCCAGCCTGCTGCCAGACAGGTAAAACCAGAGCGAGCCTGTAGACTTGACTCTGCAGAAGAAGTGGTGTTTATTTAGATTTTGTGTCTGTTTTACTTTTTCTCTGTCTCGTCTTCATGTCTTTGCCTCCTTTACATAATAATCAGTGGTATAAGAAGTACTACGATCTTTAACCTAAAGGGGATGTATCACAAAAAACTCACTTTTTCAGTGCTTGTGGACATACATTTGGGTATCTGGAGTGCCTACCAAAAATGTATGAAATATTACAACCCAGGGAGTATTTTTTGTGGGCTGCCTAAATCCGAAAATATACGTATGATTCAACAAGCAATTCAGATGTATCTGCCCTTACCATGTGACATGCAAGTTCATTTGATTATACTGCTCCCCATCTGAGTATCTCCTCCCATGGCTTGACAACTATTTATCAAAACGAAAAAAGAAACTAGACATCACAGTTGCTGGGAAATGTAGCACAGAAATAGCACATAAATGACTGCTGATGGAGCCGCGATATCAAAGAACATCTACAGTAAACAATACAAAAGAATCTTGTTTGAACACACAGCATGAATTTCATGTGACAGCAGATGTGCTGTGATGTGTTTCCCCCAGGGCAGGGCTCTGCTGTCCAGGCTGCAAGGGCTGAAAGCTAAAGGAATCCAGCTGAAGATCTCCAGCGGGATGATCGACTCGACTGAGCTCGGCATGCTCGCCAAACACAGTCAGCTCCCCCTCTCACTGTATTATACATTCTGTGTGTCTGTGTTCAAACATGACCATTTCCTCTCCCTATTCTTCCTCCTCAGCTCTGTAAATCTCTCAGTCTCATTCCATCTTTCCCTTCATCTGCCTTTGTCTGTCATTTTCTTATTGAACATTGTTTGTCTGTGGCCAGATCCTCCTTTATCCCTGTCGTTGTCTCACACTTCCTTTGTTTTAGTCTCTTTGTCTTTAACTTCCTAACTTCCTAACTACCTCTGTTTCTGTTTCTCTCTCGCTCTCTCTAATTCTAGATGCTGAAGTCCACTATGTGAACACGACAGCGCTGATCAACGGCCACCTCCAATCCTCCTTCTGGGTGGTTGACAGGAGACATTTCTACATCGGCAGCGCCAGCATGGACTGGAGATCCCTTGCCACAGTAGCCAAGACCCACCAGCACACACATACTCATACTTAAACATATGCATACTCAGAGCCATTTGACAAAATGCTACATCGCAGTCTCAGTCCTGTAAATTCTGAAGCTGCATTGTAACACACACTTACACCCTTTGTTGTAATTCTGTATCTAATAGATTTACATGAGATTTAATTACATAACAAGTTCTGCATCCCCTGATGTAGAGTGCTTTGATGATGTCCTACTGGCTCAGACTCAAAAGTACAGCGTTTTATTTGAAGTTCGCAGCCCTCTCGTGCATATGGGTGTCCCTCTTGAAAACGGCATCATCTGAAATAATTTATAATAAGGTCATGATTGCCTATTAATTGATTTGGCAAATATATCCAGATTGTATTAACACATGTAATACATAAGTCCTTTACTTTGAATAATCATTTAAAATAGATGTTTACAGGTTCCTAAAGGTTGCATTTTTTAGATTGTGTATTTAGCTTTTTTGTCGATATATTAAAGGACTGAATCCTTTAATATATCGACAAAGACATTGCTTAATATATGATTTATTTACTGACACATACTACACATGCAAACTTGAATTTGTACACGTTACGAAAGATTATATTTGTGCATAATTCAGTGTCTTCTTCTCAAAAAGTCCTAGAGATGGGGGAGTGAATGGGTGTGGGAGTTTAGTGGGGGCATGCAAAAATAGAAAGTGGCCATTCTTTCATCTTCTTCTTCAAAGCTGAGATTCTTGCACAGTTCATTAAAGTGCGGACCCAATTGTTAGGCAGCGTTATCTATCTTTAGACACCTGCAGATACAAAGGACATCGGTCTGTTTTGAGGCAGATAGACTAGCTTGTGCCAAGTAAGACCTTAGTATGTGGGATCGAAGCTTTATTTAGCTCCTGTAAACTCTGCAGGGAGAGAAAGAATGTCAGGAGGGAAAGTGAAGGTAATTTAGAAGCTGAAATTGAGAAGGGCCTCTTTGAAATGAAAAGGCAGCAGCGAGCAAAGACTGAAAATTTAGAACAGAGACAAGAAACGCTGTATTGTCCTCTCAAACCCTGCTGCTGGCTGTGACGATGAGTGAAGTCCTGTAATGGGAGGAGACTTGGTGACAATATGGCCTGACAAGTATAAGGTGCAGTGTGTTTGTGTGTGTGTGTTTAGGTGGATGGATGTATAAAAGTGCTGAGGGAGTAAAAACAGGTTACGATTACTTGTAAAGAAGGAAATCGAATGACTGTAATGTTCAGGATTATTAGAAAGGTGCTGACGTAAACGTGGGCTGTCTGTGTGCTCATGGGGCTCTAACAGAGGTTGTGTTTGTTCTCCAGAGGAAGGAGCTGGGTGTGTTGGTGTATGACTGCAGCTGTTTGGCTCTGGACCTCCACAAAGTGTTCAGCCTCTACTGGGGGCTCCAGTACAGAGACTTCATCCCCTCCTTCTGGTCCAAGCGTGTCTTTGCCCTCTTCAACAGGGACGTGCCACTGGATCTCACTCTCAACAGCACAAAGGCTCAGGCCTACATCTCTGTAAGTGACGGCTATAGCATTAGCTTGTTTTGTTGATTAGCTCAGGAAAAACCTGTGTTTTTACCTGATTGATACGTGATACGGATGAGGTTGATATGCCAACCCATAACGAGGCTTACTTCTCTGCAACCTTCGTCCTCACATGTGACTGTCAGGATGAAATTAAAAAAGTTGGACAAGACAAGCACACACATACACACATAAAACAAAGGCATCAAATCTTAATGGTCATTTTGGTGAACAATTAAGATGATGAGTTGGTTGTTGTGGGGATAACACTGCAGAAAATGTGGTAACCACTGTGGTAATAAACATCTGGTTACACAATGCTCTGACTATCTTGTACTCGTGTTTCTTCAGAGAGGAGAACACAGTCAGCGGCTGTGCATCCTCTCAACACCAACGCTTACTGTCTTTTCCTCTGACAGACCTCCCCGGATGATTTCATCCCCAAACATCGTACTAATGATCTTGAAGCCATTTCCAGGGTCATCCAGGAGGCCCGCCATTTCCTATATATCTCCATCATCGATTACCTGCCCCTCTTCAACCGCAACGCTCACAGGTTAGAGCCACTGTGCCGCTTTTGGAGTTGTTTTCCTTCGAAATTTATTTGGATAGGCATTTTTTTAATCAAAAGCTTGGATGCTTTGGTTCAAGTGACTAAACTCTGTGTTTGTATCCATGCCAAGGTACTGGTCCCGTATCGACGGTCTTATCCGGGAGGCTCTGATCCTGAGGAAGGTCCGGGTCCGTCTGCTGATAAGTTGCTGGGAAAAGACTCATCCACTTACTTTCAACTTCCTCTGGTCCCTGAGGAGTCTGTGCATGGAGCAGGCCAACTGCTCACTGGAAGCTGTAAGTACAAAGCCAACACGTACTATTTTTAAATCTACAGATATGCTTCATCGATGCTAGATGCACCACTGACTGTGATTGTGTCTGTGTGTGTGTGTGTGTGTCTGTGTGTGTGTGTGTGTCTGTGTGTGTGTGTGTGTGTGTCTGTCTGTGTGTGTGTGTGTGTAGAAGTTCTTCAACCCCAGAGTGCAGAGGGACGGCAGTCTCCAGGGAATAAACCACAACAGGTTCATGGTGACGGATCGAGCCATTTATTTAGGTGAGCTCATCGACTAGACTTCATGACTGTGTCCTACATGTCTCTGCTCACCTCATGCAGATCTCAACTCCAAATTGTTGCTTTTACATTAGTGTACGTGTAGATTTACACTCTCATTAATTATAGTGAGCTTTACTGTTACTGATATCCTTATTTTTGAAGTTTGGAAAGAGCCAGGCTAGCTGGTCTTTATGCTAAGCTAAGCTAATCACCTTCTGGCTCCAGCTCTTTGCTTTAACACAGACACTAAAGTGAAATCTATATTGTCATCATCTTCTCAATGTCTAACTCTCAGAAAGAAAGCAAAGTATTTCTCAAAATGGTCAGAGATTTCTATAAAAATGTATATTTTCTAGAAGTTGAAAACCCGGTGCTTTACAAAAGAGAATAGTTTTTGATTCAGTATATTTATCCACTGATATCTAGAAATATTATTCGCTCATGTTGTCACAGCTTGGTTTCTTAAGCGGTGTGGTCACTTCTTTGTTTCTTTCTCTGTGACCTGACAGGTAACCTGGACTGGGTGGGGAATGAGTTTACCTTTAATGCAGGAGCAGGCCTGGTGATCAGTCAGCCAGAGGGCTTTGAGGAGAGGAACTCTACGGTGGTGGAGCAGCTAAGAGCTACATTCGAGAGGGACTGGTTTTCACCTTACACCCAATTACTGCAGGCCAATAACATCCCCGTCTGCAACAAGCACCAGATCAACAGTGGACCAGTGCCTATCAGAGTGGGCCAGCACGATAACGGACCAGCACCAATGAGACACAACCACAAATATGATGGACAGACGCCAGTTAAAACTAAGCACCATGACGACAGAACAAGCAAAATTGGTCACCAAGGAAAGGCCAGTGGACTGGGGCCAAGTATAGACAGTTACCAAGAGAGGGGACAAGTCAAAATGAGTCACCCTGACAGCAGACAGGTACAAGTCAAAAGTAATTACCGTGACAATCCAATGGATCCACCCAGTCAGCCGGCTGAAAGCAGCGGCAGCAGAGAGATCTTCAATGGGTCCCTGTGACCACGGAGCATGATGATGAGAACTTCCAGTAACAATGGACTTAACACACTGGGTCTTTGTAGCATTCTATTGTTGCCATTTTGAAGAAAACAAAAACTTTGAAGAGTTAAGTAATATGTGGTTTGAAGGACTTGATCGTGTTCACGGAGGAACTCAGGAAGGAACGTAAACTCACCTGCAGTCTCGCACTTTTGATGGATTTCTTTTAAAGAATTAAAGAAACACTGATTGATACACTGTAATAATAACTTAGAACCATTCTACTTATGTAATAACTTTTTGCTCATTGTTGAGATCTCTTAAGAAAAGGATTGATTGCCTAATTATGATATGTCACTTTAGATGTTGTGTGGCAGTCATCTTTTATCACCCTTTAAAAGGGGGAAAGATGCCTGGATGTCTATGCAGAGATGGGAAAGCAGTGAGGATGTGTAGCTGCACTCGCTACATTTAGCATCAAAGATGCACTTCAAAGTATTGGAAGAATCACTACACTTAGGCCTACTGTACTCCGATTGGTTGTGGATACTTTGGCCTCATGTAGACCAAATCAACCTAAAACTATCAGTTATATAAACTGTTCATTTATTCCAATGTCAAATGGCATTAAAGAACAAGACAACCTTATGTGTACACATTAGGTTTTTATTGTTGTCACACTAAAACCTGACAAGCATTACCATTGGTCCTGTAATGGATATAACCCATGACTCATTTTGAGTGGTGACCCACAGTTGAGGAGCTGGGGCTCTAAAAGGATTGATTAAATCATGTCCACCACGTCTGAATTTCAATACCAGAAGCAATGAACACGACACAGACAGCGGTTACATAATCCAGGACATGATGTGTCATTTATCGCCCCACAGCGCCATGTGTATATCAAGATGTTCTGTTTTATGGAGGTCATAATTGAATTAGATGACGCACCTATTCTGCGTCATCTGTTGCGTTTATTACAACAGATGACGTTTTTATTTTGTGTTTATTACATGACACCAAATGCACCATGGCGTGGAGTTTTTTAATCAGTAGCCGCCATTGAAAAACTACAAGTATGTTTCCCTGGAGGAAGAGGGGCTATTGATCTGGTACGGCCCTTATAGAAAATCAATCCAGTTCTAATATACGAACCCAAGGAAAATGAGACGAATTAAATAGATATCTACAGTATTATTTCAAATGCACTCTTGTGACTTATTGAACAAATAGGGACCAGAGGGTCTCTGCTGTCAGCCAAATCAATACAATGAATTTTTAACAGAGCTTGACAGTTTCAGTTGCTGCAGTTTAACCTCAAGGACGTTGTTGCCTGTAATGTCTTGCCTGTTACTGAACATATATTACCTTTACCGTCTGGAGGTGGAGAGACAAATACATGATTGTTAGTAGAGAACAACTTATTAACTTTTGACTGAAAGCTTGTAGCGACTTTCATTTGCATTTTTGAATGATTGCATGTCAGTTTAAGACCTTTACACACTCTTTTCCGTGAGTGTTTTTGCAACAATGCTTGTGAGTTTGTAATGTAGGAACATTTTTTTAACTTCCAAAGCCATGTCTCCATGGACAATATGCAGGGTGTAATGGTCAGTGCTTTAATGTAGGAGGAGCACAGGTGAAATGAGGGTTTCGTCTGAATTCACTTAGCAGGAAGAACAATTGCATGTTTTAATTCTGCAGGGAAACTGAAGTCCGAATACATGGAACGTTTAGCTGGAACCAGAAATAATCGCTTATTTCGCATCATTTTTGGTGGATATCGCCAGTATTCTGCATACAGTATGTGTGCCTGCTCTTTTATTGCTACAGGTTAAAGCCACCACACAGACCCAGTTTTGGTCACACATGTGCTTCACAACATGTTCCCTATATGCACAGACAGGACGCATGTAGCTGACCCACTGATGCCAGTGGAAAATGAAACAAAACACACCACTTGACAATGACGGATAAATGCTGCCATCTAAAGGATGTTTTTAGAGAGGACATGTCGTCTCAATTATACAAAGGCATTTTTAAAATACATTGTTCGGAACTGCTGTCTGTATGCCAATTCTTATAAAATGTATAAAAGGCAGTGACATGGGAATGCAACTGATTTTCCTGCTTAAGTTTGAACTGAAATGATGTTGATAGCTAATATTTCTTGATATGAGGTGATCAGAAGATCGTTCTTTCTAGGATAACACATATTGTACTCAGAATAGTTAATATATAAATCAATAATTATGTAATAAATATAACAGCTCCGTGATTAATTGTAATATGCATAAAACAAAAAACAACTTTCCCATGCTGCTTTCTCTCCAAACATCTCATGACACTTATATGACACTTATATGCAGCAAACACAATAATCTGCTTCATTTCTTGAACAGCTTCTCCATTCAGAGTGAGATGAACTCTCAATATTGACGTCCACATATTTTCTTGCGAAGCACTACGTCGACGCACTGCATTGCTTGTAATGTGAGCTGTACTGGAGTCTCAGTACTTTACGCTGCTGTTATTGTCTATGATTGTACCCAAGTCTTTGTGTGTATTACTTGTTTTCTGTTTTCCAGTTAGCAGGGACCAGGACTACACTTTTAATCAGCAACGGTTTACAATCTGCTACATGCTAATTATTAAATCCAAGCAAAAACAATTGGAATGTTTCTGAATAACCGTCTGTCCATCAATCCAGGGAGATTTAAGAGAATTGAGCAATTGTCACAGTGTTTTAAACACATAAACACACTCTGTGTTTGCTTGAAGTCAGAAGGGTCGACAGGTTTGATGTAGCTCAAAGTTTAACAGACTGAATCACTATTCAATGTAAAACTTTTCAATGTCGCCTACCTTTATTCTATTGAATTGTTTCGGCATGACTGCTGCTTGCATGCCCTGCCTTTATGAAGTGTGCACAGTAGCTATGAGCCTTTCTAGAGATATTAATGAAAGCGTATACCTTTAAAAAATACAGAAGGAATGTATATTTATTGAATACCTTTGTTAGTGCACACTACTGAATTATATGAGCACTATGTTTTTACTCTTAATAAAAAAAAAGTACTCTTTGCTGTTTAGTGTGTGTGTGTGTTTGTGTTTAAGTATAAGTGAGTTGTGTTTCCTTAACACAAAGGCTGTTAATTAAAGCAACGGGGCTTACCTCAGAAGTAAATCCTTAGTACATCACTGCACAGTGGCTGTTTGTCAGGCGTCTGGCTCAGCACAGGACTACTCAGGCTACTACAGGAACATACTGATTTTAGATGGAAATATTACCAATAATATTCACCTGATTCACCGCACGAGATAACCTAAATCACTGTCAGGTTGAAGTATAGCACAGACATTTTAAATGCTTTATTTGAATCAACAATACATGATTCAAACATACAGAGAGGCAACATTTTACAGCTGAGACGTATTGACAAAACAAGTAAGTTTTGAATTAGTTGTCTTGGGCTTTGGGTAATTGTGATCTTTTTTTTAACAAACCAATGAATCAATTACTAAATTAAAAAAACGAAAATTCTGTAATAAAAATCGAAAAATGTATAGTTTTAGTGCTATACAAAATAGTTAAATCTACCACAGCTAGCTAACACAGTAATTCATGAGTCATAACCTACTCATCTAATTATATAATACAGTATATAATAGTATAACAGTCACAAGGGCCATTTTTCTGCATGAGTACTAACTTTTACATTACATACATTTTAGTGCATTTTCTTAATTATGCTGACATACTTTTATATTTTAACATTTTCAATGCAACATCCATAATATTCTAAGTATTACGTTTAAGTAAATGTAGTATTTGTCCAGTATGGTATGAGTACTTTCTGAATACTAACCGTGGCCGCTACTCGTCCGGGCTCGAGCATGAGCTCGTGCAGCGTCGGAATGACGTAACGGTTACTTTAGCAACCGATTAGGCGTCACCATCCTGGGCTTGCAAATTCATGAGTGCGCTTCTTTCTCTCCCCGGAGACCGTCCCGTCCCATCAAGAGAGGAGGAAAGAAAACCACCACTGTGACGATCAAATGGGGACAATCAACTAGATGTCTTTGTCCATCGGTTTGGGTGGTGTAACGTTATATTCGTGGTGTAGCGGTGCTGGTGGTGGTGGTGGTGTTGTTACTCAGCAGCAGCCAACATGGCTGAGGATGACAGTGAGTGGGTCGTAGAGAGCATCGTTGGCTACCTGGGGAGTCCCGAATGGGTCATTCCCGTCACGGACTTTATGGAGAACAAATGCACAGGTAAAAACACGTTTATTTATATATCTATTCACAGTAAAGCTTCTTCTGGAAGCGGTGCACCGTTAGCGCGGTGGCTAAGCTAACGCTAACCTGCGACTGCGTTATTTTTGCTCGCTTTTTTTTTTACCGTAATACGCGTCCTTTTTTGCAAGTTTATCACAACATTGTCCTCGGTGTGTGAAGCCACAAAGGACACAGATAACGCTAACAAGTCAACACAATGTAGCAAGTCATAAGTCAGTAAAGGTAACTTACAGACCTCAGCTACCAAAAGGGTCACGTATATTACCTTAATGTGTGTAATATAAGCTACAAAACACACAAGAGTTGTCACATGCCTCCTATGGGGCACAGTATGTTGAATTACTAACATGTGTTATTATTTTGGCCTTTTCTTAGTTTTTGATGACGAAGATGAAAACAAGTTGTCATACACAGAGATCCACCAGCAGTATAAGAAGTTGGTGAGTACAGTATTTGGTCCAACTGTCCCATAACCATTACTCATTAGTGTCTTTTACGTTAGTGACTCATCAAACTGGGCTGATGTAAGCTGCTTTGCTTTTGGTAGGTGGAGAAGCTGCTGGGGAATTACATGCAGGAGGTTGGCATCGACGAGCAGCAGTTTCTGGAAGCATGCACCTCTCCGTTTGCCAAGTCCCAAACACTGCAGGTACCTTAAGCTCCCTGCTGGCACACCACTGCCGGCCTGCAAGTTAACCTGGATTGGAGGATCTCGGATAGGATTTGCTTACATAACCCCAGTTATGCTGCTTTTGTAGATAGTGCCAGACATAGCTAGTCTCCTCCTTCAAGGCAGATGTGTGTGTGTGTGTGTGTGTGTGTGTGTGTGTGTGTGTGTGTGTTTACTGATGAATCAGCAAAATTGTGATTGCTTGTGGAGAAACTCAGTTTTACAGATTTGTTGATTAAATCAATTAACAAGAAATCAATTAGTAAGAGTGTTTGTTGCATTAGATTTTCTTTGGACGTGGACGGCCCTATTCGTGACATATTTAGATCTGTCAGTTCCAAGCAATTATTTTATTAATTCTTTGCATATATCCTGGTCCATCAGGAATCTCTCATGTTTTCATAACTCTACCAAAAACTTGACTTGGCACATTCCTGTTTGTGCCCTTTTAACATGTATTCAAGTGTTTACTCCCACGGAGCCTGTTAACTCTATAATATTAGTTACAGTTTAAAATGTTACAGCCTATCGTTGGATTCTCCTTTGCACTGATCATCAGGTGTAAAGTGGATGTGTCCGATTGGCAGGGACACAGATACGGATTTCGTCGCAGTCCTCAGCAGACATGGTTCTCTTTAATTACCACTAAGATAAATACAGAGCAGGTCAAATTCTCCTCAAAGAAATATTAACATTAGAGTTGTATCTTCTGTTTCAGTTTGAGACTTCAAACAGGATCATGCAGTCACACAAACAGTAGTACGAAGGCCTTATTTTGTGTAGTGTTGCGTTTTTCTTGCTTTTTTGGGCTCTTTTATATGAGAGATTGCTTGCTTCCCCTTTGTGTTCTGGATAGTAAAATTAGCAGAACACAATTTACCTTAATTAGTTGTCCAGATAGAAAACGCTAGAAAAGTAAAAGTAAGGCCCCGACTCAGAATCACTGACTAATGATAATTTATTCTATTACTTTTATCTGAGACAGTTTTGCAGCATAACTCAGTTACTTTGTATTGTGTTGCAGTGTCCTTCCTCTTTAGACTTACCTACTGTAGCGGACTGTATCTTTTCTGTGATTAAGTTACTCAGAGACACAGGATGTACTGTAGGTCTGGGCTTCAGGCTGGAACACTCAGAGAGACTGACAAAGGGAGAAGGGAAATACTGCAGAGAGATGCTGAGCATGGACTGAAAACCTGATGACCCACTTGAGCTAAGAACACTGATCTTGGTTGGTCAGGAAGATTGTCCAAGCATTAGCCTAGATCGGGGGGCAGACCTTTGAATAGAGGTAGGAAGCTAATGTGACAGATAAGGCATAAGTAGCACTCTGTTTGCAAACATAGCTTAATTTGTGTCGGGACTTAATTTGTGTCGGGAATTTGTGTCGCTGGACGTACTGTACATCCTGTCCTGAACCGCAGAGGACTAACGGAACAAGAACATCCTTATAGGAACCCTGACTATCTCAATCAATACCTTCGTTTTTGTTCTGTGAAATATTCTTAGACCTCAGTAATGTTGACAAAGCAGTGTAGCTATGCAACAAGGTGCTTCTGGACAAGTTTGAATATTTGACTAAATTGATCTTTACTTACAGATTGAGTGTGTTGAGTATATCAGTCACAGATGCGTCTCTCTACCTGGTCGTATCGCCTTTCATTCATCATTACCTTGTGGGCACAGTGACTTTTCATGGTCTTATATGTGGTTGCTGTTTTTGTCATTCAGTCGGTGTTCCAGACAGTTCTGGCTACAGATGACTTCCAGATATTTCGCTCCCTGATGGTCCAGAAGAACATGGAGCTGCAGCTTCAAGCCCTCAGAGTCATTAAAGAAAGGAACGGTAGGCTGGACTATAAAACACACACACACACACACACACACACAAACAGCAAAAGACTTCTGATATAGCTGCAAGTGATACGCCTGCTCTGTGTGTAGGGGCCCTCCCAGAGTGTCTGACTGATGGTGTGGACGTGATGACAGAGCTGCAGGATCAAGAGATGAAAATCCTACAGGAAGTTCTCAAGTAAGTCACCTCTCTCTCTTCTACTCTCTGTGTCACTCTCTTGCTATCTTTCTCTCCCCCTCTCTCTCACACACACACACACACACACACACACACACACACACACACACACACGCACACAACCCTAACCCTGTGCACATGCAACAACCTACCAAACTTAATAGAACATTTTAGTTTTGTGTTTTTAGGCTGAAATATGTAAATTAACCTATTCTGTAAAACGTCTAACAGTTTAGGTCAGTAGATCTGTATTCATTTAATTGTTTTTTACCAATGAATTAATTCAGTCATCATGTAATTAGATCTGAGTTTTTTCCTCTGATATTTCCACATGTTCTCTATGCGTCCGTTGCCCTTATGTGTCCAGGTGTAGAGGAGCTCCGGCCCCGGCTCTCTAATGGGATTTTGCCAGTGGCAGCCGGGCCAAGTAGAACACACTGAGTCTAACGGGACCAGCGGTTAAGCTCCTTAGAGTCCAGCTGATGTAGATTGGAGGGATTGACACTAAACAAGCAACTGAGAGAAATAGTATTTTTATCCCCTTTGTCTCACCAGGATACCTTGGCTGCTTATCAACTTTTTCGTTTTCTAGGATTGTACACTGCCAATACAACGCCTTTCTGCAACTGACTGCACCATAAGCACTTGAATGCACCATGAAGGATTTGCAACAGCATTGCCTTTCAATGACAACATACCATGAAGTTGTTAAATTGCAGCTAAATGTTTCCTGTGAGGCAAAATACACAACATGGTTTATAGAAACGCTTTTCTCAGGTGCTGTAAACTGTGTCAGAGCACAGCTGTACAGCAGTCTCACAGCTGGCGGACTGACTTGAACTTATGCTCACTATATTGTGGTTTACAGTACCATTTAAATAAGACGGTTGCAGTTTTAGACTTGATTGACATTCCAACTGTTTTGCTGTGCTATCAGTATCTCAGCCATCAGTCCTTTTTGGATGCTATGAAATCCTCACAGGGTTTCTGACGACACACAGTCACAGCTGGAATGACTTCAACTCCACTGTCATTCATTCCGTTTTGTTAAACAAACTATTTTAGACAAATTCTGCAATATCTTTTTCAATCTTAAAAAGATATTGCTGATTTTGACGACTATCCTTTTCTTGTTCTTTTACATCTCTCTCTATCTGCACATGTAGTGATAAACGCTTTGCGGAAGTCTCCTCTAATTCAAATTATGTTGTTAAATAAATCGAATTAAAGGATCTGTGTGTGGCACGCTGGTGATGCCTGGCAGCAAGGGAGGGCATATTGTGGTTATCACATGACGTTGCTGACTTATTCTAGCTTCTAGTCCATTTGTTCCACCTGCCAAAGGTTAAATGTACAATAGAACCTGCTTAGCTGTAGATTAGCCTCGCTCTTATCACACCTGGGCTGCTAAATAGACTCTTAAAACAGTCCACGGGGGCTCTTGAATGCTCTGTATCAGGACCAGTTCAGGCAAAAGCAATTACTTCTGCTTGGGCTAATTTATGCATAGAGAAAAATCAGACAAATTCAAATGTAATATTTCTTTTTTTTCCTCAGACAGTCAAAAGAGGAGTATGATGAGGAAATGTCCAGGAGGCTGCTTTTAGGCGAAGAGGTTGGCTCCACTTCCAGCAGCTGCTCTGATAAGCCAATAGCAGAAAACAGTGAAGCCCAGAATACCTCCACTGCTCCCAGCCAACAAAGCAGCGCTGCCAAGGTAAGGCATCAAGAGCACCATGAGCTAAGTAAGACCAGTAAGACCAGCAGCATCTCTGTGTTGCCGTTGTTGGACTTATTTCAGACGTGCAGTACCTGATACTACCAATGCTTAATGGTTACTGCCAACATACTTTTTTTCCCCCTTAAAGCCCGATCTCGCCTTTTATAACGCGACACTGTCTCCAATTCATTCCATGCTCAGACGACAGCTGAGGGGAATGGTGACAGCAGCCGCAGTAATGGTCACCACGACCCACTAGTGAACGGAAACACTGCCACTGAATTTAATCTGGTAACGGAACCATTTTAATCAATGACCTGATAATAAATACGACAGTTTACTGCCCCGTCTAAGGATGCATTAATACCATTTTACATGTAAAACTCAATGTATGTAAATTGGGTTTTGAATTTTCTGACACCAAAATGTACTGCATGGTACACAGGTATTGGCATGATATTCAGAAGTATCAGTGCATCCCGAGGGCAGGTAGTATTCTTCTGTTTCATAGCATGCGTAGTAGTTAGGTCGTGTAGAAGCTTTGTAGTTTGAATGAGGTCGCTTGTGTAGTATCAATAGATTCAAATATTTGCTGACTGCAGGGAGACTGTGGAAGTGTTTCTTGCACTTTACACACGATTGAAAATGTCTTTTTAGATATTTAGAGCCCATGTAAATGCACATCCTGAGTCTTTCACCGGTCGGGATCTTCCCTGACCAGTTTGGTGAGGTACTACCAAAATAAGAGAAAGAGAATCAGGTCAATTGGAAAATGTGGCTTGTGTTTTTTTTTTTTAGAATCCAGCAATGTTGACAGTAACACACACTAGTGCCTACAAGTCTACAATCTGAGCACTACATGTGGTTGTAGCAGCGTCGCAATAGTGGGCTGATTTTGATGCAGTGTTTGTGTCATCTGTACATGTTAAAGGGACAGTTCATCCCCAAATCAAAAATACATTTACGTTTCCTTTTACCTGTAGCGCTGTTTATCGATCTAGATGGTTTTGGTTTCGAGTTGCCTCGTTTTGGAGAAAAAACTACATTTAACAAAAGACCTCACTGCTCACATCAAGGTCTTCAGATTATCACGAGTAACTGGGTCAGGATTTCTGGAAAGAGACTTTGCTGTTGAGTTTATTTCAAGTGTATTTTTTGGTGCTTTGAGCATCCCACGGCTGATATCTCCAAAACTTTGCAACTCACTACAGGTAAGAGGAAACATAACTTTCCCTTTAATGCGTGCGGGTCCCTTCTTCCAGGTCAACGGCAAATCTGTCACCAAAGAAGAGAGCAAGACGGATGCTCCAGTGGGAGGAGCTACGAAAAGTGCAGCTAAGCGCAGCTCCACGTCTAAACCCACACCAGGTATTTCAGAAGAGCTTCAAACTCTTCTCCACCACCTCTGAACTGCTCTTCTCTTTGTCTTATTACAACTCATTTAGCTTGTTTACTGGTTTTCTTTTCCTTTCACAACCAACCTGAGAACGCTGCGAGTTATCAAACTGATTTCAACATGTGTGTGTGTGCAGATTGTGGTAGTAATGGTGTGGAGTCCCGAGTCCTTCCAGCAGTGAGAGCTCCAGTAAAGTCCGGTGAAGCCTCCGTCAGCCTCGGTCCTGGCACCAAGGAGCAGAGCAGCAGCAGCCAGACTGCAGCCGAGGCGTGTCTGGAGGAGGCGCACAGGGAGGCTGGCTTCTCCAAGCCATATACTGTGAGTCTGTCCTTTTGCTTCTGTTAGCACAGTGCTTTTGCAGTAAAATTAGAGGTAGACAACTGCTTTAGTCTACAGGGAGCGCCCAGCACAAAATGAAAGTTCCTCTTCGTGGCTTTAATCTGGAGAGTACAAGAATCTGGGAGTTTTAACAGCTGAGATCACTTCAGTGCATAACATATCCAGTACAACTCAGAGCTTCCTGAAACACAATGTAAAATGGCACTAGAATGATTTAACTTGTTGTTTTTCTTTTGCTCATTAGTACCCCAATATCCCAAATTCCTTCATTTTTAGCAATTTGAAATAGTTGGAAAACAGTTAAATGGGCACAAACCTTCATCATGTTTGTGTTGTACTGGTTCTCGTCCCGTTTCACCTCCTTCTCCTCTTCCCTGCAGGAGTTAACAGCGTCTCAGCAGGAGCAGCTCCAGCAGAGGGCGGCATATCTGCGTCAACAGCGAGACAAACTGCACGCGCTGAAAAAAGAGCAGCAGAAAACCAAGCAGGTGACCCCGCCGGAGGAGACGATCACCGCTGTCCCAGTAAGTCCCGCCTCTTCCTGTGTCTCCCTTTAAACCTCTCCCTTCACAAAAAGGTCTGACAGTGCAACATGGCTGATGTTAAGTATTTATTTCCTCATATTGTCCTATTAGAGTTATTTAGAGACGTTGTAGATACAGACTACAGATCATTTCAGGGTAACGCTGGCTTTGAGTTGTGTCTCTTGGTAATCACGGTAAGAAGTTGTGACAGGGTTTTATCATTTAGACTTTTTACATTCTTTTCAGTTTGGTCACATTTTTTTATCTTTTACGCCCAAAACTACATTCTTAATTTCACCTGATTTTCTTTAACCCACGTTTTTCCTCCTGATTTTTCTTTCTTTTCCTTCACAACCATCCCGTCGACTCATTTATCGGCTTGTTGCTCTTCGTTTCTTTCTGCCTGTTTCTGACCTGACCTGGCTTGTCAGGAGGCGGTGGGGCAGTCCCAGAGGAATGGGGCCTGTACCCCTCCTCCTCCTCTTCTTCCTCCTGCTCCTCCATCACAACACTCCGCTAACTCCTCCAAACAGAAGGTGATCCATCAACTGTCTCTGTCGTGCTCTGTCACAACCCCCCGAGAACAGAAAAGGAACAGACCGCAGTCTTTTACTAAAGAGAAAAAGGTCTCATTTACATGCTGGGTCGGGAAATCACACCCACTGACCAGCTACTTGTATGGTTTTGAACTGAAAGCTAGCATTTTAATTCATCAACACATCCTCTTTAGATCTATAAAGCTTTATAAACAACACTGACAATGTGTCGCATTGCCATATTTCCAATAGCAGCTGCTTTTGTTTAGTTCTATAGCTAATCGTGTATACCTGGTTGTATTCCCCACTGCTTTTTCATTCCCTCAACCCTTTGTCTTAAGCCACTGGCGGTGATTATTATTTCTGTCCGATTCTTCTTGCAGGAGATATCTGCTGAGGAGAAGAAGAAGCTACAGAAGAGAAAACATCTGGCTGACAAGCTGAAAGAGGAAGTGATCAAGAAATAACTGCAATATTCCAAATGATATATCCCGCCAATTTACTCCATTAATCACGCACGGCTTCCTTCACACTGCCTCCTTCAGCCAGATCATTCACTTTGGGTAACACAGATCGTAAAACACGAGTTCTTTTCATCGCCATCTACACGGGAAGAAGGTACATCTGCTTTTGTATTTGTGGATGTACCAGTATGTGACAGTCTCCACTCGTATGAGCACACACACAAGTATTCGAGCATGTCTGACTGAGAAGGTGCAGGAAACACAAAGACCAGCCAGGCAATATGCAGCCAGTGTTACTAGAGTCGAGTGGGGAACCCAGGTGGCTTTTACTTCACATCACGAGGCACACCTGTGTCCAAAGCGCTCCGTATTTGCCACTCCTAGCACTACATTTACTGTACTGTCATTTAGTCTGCGTCCAAATTCTAAATGCAGAATGTATGGACTATATAGTGGCCTCAAAAAAACAATCCCACATTGGAATGAAAACTGTGTTCACTGCATGTACACTACTTGATAAAGATATGACAATGCAATGCTTCACTATTGATAGTATCGATGTGTATTATGCAACACTGCACTGATTCATGACTAGTGTCTGTGCTCACCACAGTAAACCAGCGAGTAAAGGAGTGATTTTGAACACATTGTGCTAGTTTCTCTGTAGAAAACAGTCAGAAAAGGTCACACGTGGTGAAACAGTAACTCGACATTTCAGTTATTAATGCTGGTAGAAGAGTTCTACGTTCAGGTGAGGGTAACATTAGCGAGTCTTGTCGAGCGTCAGCTGGTCCACCATGAAGCTGATCACACTGTAGCAGCTCATCCTCAAAGATGAACACACTCGTGTGATCGTGAAGGGGCCACGGCAGCTTTCTACAAGGAACGCAGTATTTCACGTACGCTGTTTAATAAATCATTTTATAGAAACAAGCTCGACCCCAGACTTTGTGTGTGTGTGTAAAATCTACAGCTATCTTTTAGGTACCTGGTCTCAGACCGATCCTCTGGTTTAATCTGGATCGAGTGCTTTGGTGTTATGCAGAGAGGGATTCATCACCAAGTGTTCTCGTTTGTATTTAGAACATTTTCATTCAACATGAATCACTTTCCTGGTACAAAAACATGTCGAGTCCTTGCTGTAAAATTTGTACAAATTGTATTCCACTCTAATATCTAAACTTGCTTGCAAATACAACCATCTGGACTCAAAAGGAATAATTCAGAAACAATTTGATTATTTTGTTGCTCCAAATCAGTAAATTATTAAAACAAAAGCCAGATTTACAAGTTCAATGTCAGGGTCACATTTAATTTCAAAACTTATCAAATAAATTCATACAAATGTTAAGAATGGATAGTGGTAGTAAATGCACTTGGTACAAATTCATCAAGGGGAGAGAGAGGGGGGGCAAAAACAGTGAAATTGTTGGGTGACGCTGACAGACAATCCGCTGCTCGTATACGACTGAACTCCTGAAAAGCACATTATTGGCAATAATATTTTTACACGTGCTCCTACGCGGCGGCTCATGACTCAGAGGTTCTGGACAGACGTCTGTGTGAGTTCTGATTCCCTTCTCCGGCCTCTGTGTGCTTGTGGTGAGACGCTACAACACGAGAAATGTTTCAACCCAACAACAAACCGTCAAACCTCTGCATTGTCAGAAATGCTCAACTGAAGCAACAGTTTGACTCGAAAAACTGCATCAACTCTGGGGTTAAATCATCTTTTCATAACTAGGGAGAATAAACAGCTCATCCAATCATAGAATATGAACTAAACTTTTAGAAAAAATGTAAAAGAAAGATATTCCTTCAACGTATTTTTGATCTGGAGAGTTGTTTTTATGCTTCAACAGGCGTTTAACATTCTGGCGCCTTGGTGTTTCACCACTAGCAGCGTTACAGCGCTCACACGTGGTGGGTAACTCTGACCCTAGTCTAGTCTGAAGGGGGCGGAGTCTTAAACCTTCTGAAAACAAGAGTGTGCCCTAAATCTACTCTAACAGCTCAGGTTCATCACCCAGTTAAAACAAAACGGTGTGCATCGTATTGAGGCCACTAAATTCTTCAATCCACTAACATACAAAACTCCAGACATCCTCGAAATGTTGGCTGCAAAAATGACTTTACTGCAGTTTTAATACGTTATTTTTTAAAACCAGCATTTTACATTGACTCAAATGAACTGGACTGAAGGGGTGAACAGGGACCCCCACCTTTTGTGCAACAACAACAAAAATACACAGGTAGGTAGGTATCCTCTCTCCCCTTTGAAAATCAGATCAGGGAAAAATGATTAAAAATAAAAAAAACATCTGTACAGTACTTTTTAACAAAGTCATGAAATACAGGATTTCTGGCATACGCAGTCCTGTGTGTGAGACGCCGTGTGTGTGTGTGCCTTGGCCATATTGGCGCCATGGCTTCTGTAGGTTTGAGTCCTGCTCCTCTGGATCTAAGCCTCAAAACTGCTGAGTTTTTTTTTCGTCCTGGTACATTTGTGACCTCCCTCGTCTCTTCAACATTTCATTTAATTCTTCTATGTCGCCTAGATCCCCTCTACCTCCCCCCGGACAAACGTGATCAGTTCTGTGACAGGGCGGCCCTCGCTGCTGCAGCCAGTCAAGCTTCCTATAACTATGGCGGCTGGCAATGCTAGCCTAACTGAGCGGCTGGTTGTGTTCTGGCTTCCTCTGTCTCTGGGGCTCATTGGTTTGGGGTTGGAGAAGGATGGGAGGGAGAGTTGAAATGAGGACACGCGAGGGTTCCTGCGGGGGGCGTGGCTGACGTACCGCAGCTACCTTGCTACTGTTGCTACAGCATCAGAGCAGAGTCGGGGAACCGCCTTGGCAACGTTACGTTCACCGAAGCCTCTGGTCGGTACGTAGGATGAGGAAGTTGTTTCGGGAGGAGGTCAGAGCCGGGAGAGCAGGAGAGTGGAAGAGAGGAGGGGTGAGTTTGCAAAGAGTCCATGTGTTTCCCCCTCAGGAGGAAGAAAGGGGGATTTTGGGATCTTCTAGATGAGGCCGTTATTAAAAAAAGAGGTAAAATCAACAGGCTGAAGGAACAGACTGATTTGTCTTTCTTTCTCCTTCTCCTTCCACTGAGGGAGAAAAGAGCAGCAGAGATCGGGAGGGACTGGGTGAGGTGGGAGCCTGTCTTCGCCCGCCTCCTCAGCGAGACTGACAGGTGGCACAGGCAGGCCGAGGACCAATGAGACGACCAGAGGAGGGAGGAATGGGAGGGACTCAGTGTCCGTCCACTACGACCAAACAGAGGACAATTAGCCTTAAGAGCTCAGGCGGGGCCGCTTCCTCGGAGATTGCTCTTCCTCCTCCTCCTCCTCTTCTTCCTCTTCGTCCTCATCGTCGGGGTAGTCCACCAAACCGACCAGAGCCGTCTAGGAGGAGAAACAGGAAGAGGAGCAACACAGTGAGAAAAATGGCCACATAGGAAGCAACAAGCAAGGCATAAGATGATGTCCTTCTGAGTGTTACTGTTTGTTGCAGCTTGTCATTACCTTCACTACTGGTGTGGCAGGAAGTGCAACTGTTTTGACGGAGGAAGTTGAACTGTTGTTTGGAGTGAGGGCTGGTGAGGCAGGTGGGATCGCGGCAGCTTTCCCGTTATTGTTGGCACCATTCGCTCCGTTGGCAGCTCCTGCAGTGACACAGATTGTAAATATCAAACTTAAAAGGTGCTGCAAACTGTTTGCAATCTGGAGGGGAAACTGTACGTGAAGCAACACCGGAGCAGCTCACCTTTTTTGGCTTCCATGTACTTGCCGTAGCTGTCAGAGAAGTCATCCTCCATTCGGCTCTTCTCCACGGCCTCTCCGTCATCATCGTCGTCGTCGTCATTGAACCACAACTCCTCATCCTCGTCCATCGACCGTGCGTCTCTGCGATATCTAGAGAAAAAGGTGATCAGAATTAGCTTCCTTCATGTCTTCATAACTCTAAGACAACCACTGCTCTGACCTTTATGTCCCCATCAGCCCACTGACCTGCTGAGTCTCTGACTCTGCCGGTCTTTCTCCTGCTCGTACCGGCCTTTCAGGCCCTTGAAAGTCTGGACGTACTCAATGGATTCAAGTGCTTTGTAGAAGTTATCCACAATGTGAGCTATGAGAGACTTAACGTCCTCCTGGAGAGAGAAGACAAATGGTGGAACATCACAACCAATCCACTTTTGAGTGCTACGTGCACCCACCCAACACATCTCATTAAGGTGCATGTGTTGTGTATCTACACACCACTTTGATGAACTCAAAGAGCTCTATGATGGCTGAGTTGAGGAGGTTGTATCGGGTGCCGTTGTCCAGCAGGGCGTTAATGACGGGCTCAAACAGGTTCCCTTTGATGATGTAGCGGTTGTAGTACTCGTCCTTCAGACCAATGATCCTGCGCATGAAACGCAGGGCACCTTGGACAAAAACAGACAAGATCGTTCAATAGTGCGAGATGTATAAAGCAGACCCACAGCTCAGATACAGTTAACCCACGACTGTACACTTAGAAGAAGTTCATTCATAAAGTAGGACAACTGAGAAGGAAAGAAATGGCGTGTGAACTTACAAAGAGCCAGGAAGGTGTGCTTTGAGTTCATGAGCACCAGCACTCTCCTGAGCAGGTCTTTGTTCATAATGTAGGTCTTGATGTGATACGTGTGGTGCTCCACACAGAAGGTCAGGAGCTCCAGGATCAGTGCCAGCAGCTGAGCTGTCTGGAAGTTGTCTACACAAAACAATGAAAAAAACAAAGCAAATGAGCAACGCAACATTTCCACAAATTCACATTAAGCTGTTGACGATGAAATTATATTGGGAAAGTACTTCAACATTACAGCTACTTCATCATTTAAGCCATTATGAAGAAGCACATGGTCATTTATTTTATCCCTATGTGGTGGGTGGAGGTGGAAGTAAAGCGAGACTAAAACAGAATTCAAATGTTACTGTAACTATGCGCCAATACCAACAATCCCCAGTCAAGGTTTTTGACGGGCTGATGGTTGATGTTGAGTAACACTCACCTGGACAGACGGGGTTGATCTTAGCTGATCCCTCCTGGAGATCTGAAAAGGCCGTGACACAGAATAAATCAGTCAACTTCTCTGTTTACCTTACAGTCTGAAACACTCCGGTTTATGTGAGGTCTCTGTCCCCAGCTCACCTTTTGAGTTTTTGTCATGTGCCGTGTTGGCCAGCAGAGGAGCAGTCAGGACATGCATGCAGTACTTGTAGAAGAAACTCAGAAATTCTGTCTTCTCGGTTTTCTGTAAGGAAACAAAGAAGACTTCATGAAAGCTGTTGATGTTTTAATGTTGGACCAAACCAACAGGGGTTTGAAATGTACCAGTGTGTCTGGGGGCAAAACGATTATGGGAAATATGATGTAAAATATGACCCTGGCCATCAATACGTGGTTATACTGCATGTCACCATTAAAACCGTTGTGTGTGTGTGTTAGTTCTGCTTACATTGGTGGAAGCCAACATGTTCTCGGGGTCGATGAGCGTCCTGAGCAGACCCATCAGCTGCACAGCTCCTCCTAACTCTGGGTCAGAGTCACAGATCATCTGCTTGATCACAACATTTATCAGCAGAACATCCTGCAAACAAGAGAAAATACACACAGTAGAAGACGGTTAAAATAAAATGATGCACATTCAGTCTGATGGTGTATAAGGATTACAAGAGAAATTCAACGAAGATTTTAGCACGACACAGTATGCAACCCAGACACTACTAGAAGATCATTTATTATAAAGAAAGATTAGGGATTCCCTGAACTATACAGGCTCCACTTCTATGAGAACAAGTGGAAGAAAAACAAAAGAGGGTTGTATCGAACTAGTAGATCAAATACAGACAAAGCATAGTTTTTTTTCTTTGCCTCTTGTCTGCTGCTCTAAGGGCCTGTAAGGCTTCACGTGCACATTCAGGCTTTCATTTGGGAAAGCTTTTTGCCATGTGCAAGTATTTTTGCACATAAATTGTATGTAAAATTGCTGCAGCACAGAGTTATAAAAAATGTATGAGAGAAATACTGTAAAAGGTATATTTGTACATCACTTACTATACAATATTTCATACAAATATCAATCAACTAGGGGACAGTACATCAACGCTGTGCTACATGAAACTGGGCTTACGTCGTCTGTCTGCTGTGGTTCCTGCATGACGAACTCTCTGACCATGGAGGGGCTGAATTCCACCAGGTAAGAGAAGATGTCCGTAGCTGCTGCCCTCACCTGCAGGTCGTCCATTCCCTGCACAGGAGGAAAATAGGAGTTGAAGACCAGAACAAAGAGAATTCTACACAACAAAATGTTTCCCCAGTTGGATTATTCATAAGCAAAAGACAAACATGGAGTGTGATAAACCGAGGAACTGTTTTATTAACAACAAATTCATGTAACGGGCAGAACATACCATGACTATTTCAAGCGCAGGCAAAATGCCGAGATTTGCCAGAGTTTTGAAGAAAGCGTCCCTGTTTTGTGGCTGCAACGTTTGTGAAAAAGCACAGAATTCCTTGACAAAGTTCACCTGAAATGTACAGAAAAAAAAAAAAGATGTAACATTTGATCAGACAGATTAAAAGCAAACGGTTAAAGGTCAGTGGCAAAAATACTTTTCCCAAGCATTGTTTCATGTGTAGAGCAGTGAGAGAATTTATTTTTAGTCTCAAACACAGAGATACAAAGCGTTTCAAAAGAATAAAGGACAACTGCATGAACAGAATCAATTATTTCCTAGTTCCCTCTCAGTGACAGTCTGCACTGTTGAATGAATAATGTTGCCAAAGCGGTTGTAGCCAATGGACAAAGAGGTAATTGACATCAAAAGCAGTAAGGAAAACCGGGCAGTAAATATTTAACCCGTGCAACAGAAGTAGCATCGCAGACTGCAGAATGAATCATTTCCACACAAAAACACAGTATCACAACATCTGGCCTGGAGATTTAACAACTGTTTGACTCACAAGCTCTCTCCTTTTACTGTCTTCTGTGGCTTCGTCTGTGAGCTGTGCGAAGACCTCCGTTAGGAACTTCTCGTCCTCCTTTGGCACACGAAACAAAAAAGGGTTAAGAAATCAAGCTACTGAAGAAATAAAAGGCGTAAAATCCAAAAATAAACAGAAAGGGGAATACACAACTTAATCCTGGACACTTTTTATTCAACTTTAGCATCAACTAGAATCAAAAACACTGAGGGAACCCATGATTCTTAAAGCCCTAAAATACAATCATAGGATGTAGAAAACGTGAATATGAAATGGTTGGACTGTAAGTTACTGTTTGCATCATGAATACGATTGTGTGGTACAAATTATTATCAATTAACACCTGACTCACATAAAGAAATCCACTTACAAGCAGTACAATAGATCTTTCAAACACCTTTCAAAAATATTTTTATTATTGTATATTTTAATAGTTCAACTGTCACAAGACAAAACTCGATGCACACACGCATGAGCTTTTGTCGCTTACACAATTTTCAGTCAGTGGCAACTGATTATAGATTTAGGAAAATACTGCAGATACAGAAATGTTCACCTGTAAGCTGTTCAACAGCAAATGAAAGCTGGTACAGAAAAGACAGTGGCTTGTTGATAAATGTGCCTTCAAGAAAAATACATGTTACCTGGTTTGGACCCTTACCTGCAACATACTGACAATCTCCACTTTGTTGAAGAAGATGAAGGAGGTGAGTGTGGACAGGAAGTTCTCCTCAAAAACAGATGGCGTGGGGAGGATGATGTCCTGGATGTACTGCACCCGGTAGGTTTGGTGGATCTTCTGCCGCAGCTCAGAGTCCGTGATAGGGATCACCTCCTTAAACTTAGCCGTCTTGGTCAAGAATTCCCGGTGCCGTTTAGGCTGAACCAGCGCTGGGTCATACTCGAGGCAGCCCACCACATCCATGATACAGTCATCAGAGAACATCACCTCAAAGAGGGCCGCTTTGTTGAGGAACAAGACGCCACGGACAATCTCATAGAGGTGATGTAGGCCTTCCCTGTTGTCCAGGTCCTCGCATACTCTGAAGAGACCCAGGAGTTTCTTGATGTAGCCCTCGCTCATAAGGGCCAGGGCCAGTTTTTCCCTCCGGATGGGCGAAGACAGGACAGAGGTAACCAGGTCAGCGATCTCCTCCAGTCGGCTTAGCTCACAAGGAGGGAGCTCCACCAGGTGGCTCGTCTCCGGAATCTCCTCGAAGCGCTCCTCTTCCGACTCATCGATAGGGTCCTGGGTGATGTCCAGGGCCGGGTCCTTGCCTTGAACCTGGGAAATAAATAGTTGGCAGATATGAAGTAAGGAATTAAACTAGAAGTATTAATGTACTGCCTCTTGCAGTAGTGTCAATAGAGCTCAGCAAACCAGCACCACTGCTGTTTGTGTACCCTCCAGTAAACAAGAAATTTACAAAACTGGATTTGCTTTACCTGGCAAATCTTCTCCCATATCTCATCGCAGCCCGCCTTTTCCTGGAAACTTAGGGCAAGGTCATAATTATCTGCTTCCGACCAGACAATCAGTGTGTCCTGGTAGGAGGAAATAGAAACATCAAACTGTATACAAAGAAATGCTTATCGTATTTACAGGACACACTCAAACACAGTTGCATGCGTTCTCTCTCACACGCACACTCACACTCACAGAGGTCGCATTATCAAAACAAGCCTCAAGAAGAGTAAGAAGTCACATATTACCAACACACACACACACACACAACACACACAACACACACACACACACACACAAGCTCTTTCAAGCCTTTGATGTCCTTTCAAATTAATAGTGGTTACTTTGTCCACAGTCAGATCTATTATCTCAAACCAGGTGGCATGTGTGTTACAAATGTATCTCGTTGTGCCGACTGTTAAAATGGTGAAAAACAAGTTCGCTGGTATTGGGACCAGGTTTACACTGGGACCAGACATTGAATTACCATTGTCTGCACTGCATCTGTGTAGCAGCACTTGTCAAGCAACAGGCCTCAATGTTGAAATGATTACATTTTCACACTCTAATTTAGGAAATACTGGAGGTTTGCACGGGCATGTCTTTTGTAGCGGATCCGGGCTCAGGTTATCTATTCTTACCTGTTGTTTCTGATATGCAGTATTCGGGCTTATCTTCGACTCCAATAGTAGAGATCCTAAAAACACAAAGACTTGGGTAACTTTTTCATCTCCGAGCTATAGAGGCAATGCTCACAACAAAGATAACCACACAGCTAACGTGACCAATTATTGAAGGTTGAGGTCAATTAACCTGTGTGGCAGTCAGAGAGCATGTAAGCATGTGAAACGATGAATAAAATAATGTTGCACAAATACTACGTTACAACTAACAACAGCTGGGATTAATATCGCTAAATCAGCCTTTTCCAGTGTTAATCATTTTTTTGGGATGATCTTTGCGTGGATAGTGGTTTATTAACCCGAGTACTAAGAAGTTTGTACATTTAAGACAATACTTTGAAGGCCCCCCATGCTACTGAGATCGCCTGCTATACTAACGAGCTTGCTAGCACCAGCTATTCAGTAAATGTTAGCCTTTTATCTAAAGGCAATCATACTACTGGTTGTTCTGGCGGTTATGAAACACCGGCTTCAAAGAGCTAGCTCAAAGAAACAATTCCTAATAAGATAACCAAAGTACACATAGTGGCCAATTGTATTCTGTCCGAACAACCATAAGTTTGCGTGCTAACGCTAAGCTAACTGTAGCATCAATGCGGCTGTGCTAACTGTGAACTCACCGTCCGATTCTGCTCGAACTAATAACGATATTCCCTTCAGACGTTCAACAAACGTAGATGAGACGTGTCCGGTGCCCCGATCGTCCCACTGCCGGTCTTCATTCAGCGTGTACACTTTCACCCGCCGCCGAGTGTCCGACATGGTTAACCGAGCCGGAGCTAGCAGGCTAGCTAACAAGCTAATCACCTCACACCACGTCTGGTGGTTTCCTAGCCTCGACCTGTTAACTTTGTTTCCACCCGCATGTTATATAAAAACATGCACGTCTACAGTAAAGTTTAACAATAGCCGTAGAATGTATCGGTAGCCGATTCATAAACACATTACGTTCACGAGGTGAAACAGCTCGACAGGAGGGCCCTGTTATCAACCAGTAAAATTCACAAGAGAACACAACAACTCTTAACGGCCTTCTTTGCTAACGTCCACAGACCGCCATCTTGTAATCCGATCTTGTGTTCTTTTTCTTCCTCGACGTCAATCAAGCGCTAACTGCCGCGGGGTCTCCTCCTCCGAGCGACGTCATCCAATGGCGAAACCGCAGCGCGAGGAGTCTAACGCGCCCCCTACAGGCAAGAAAAGTCATAGCAGCAGCAGTTACCTGCAGATGACTTTATGTGGACAGATGTCACAGAAAGTTACAAATAATACACTGTGCAATACCACAATTATTCTGTCTGTATATACACTATTAGTTATTGTGGATTATTTTACTTATTTATAATACTTGTTTTTTTTACTACGTCTCTTGTTTGCACCATCCTGCTGTAATCCTGTACATTTCCCCACTGCAGGTCTAATAAAGGATTATCTTATCTTATTTGAAATGGCTAAAATTATTCACAGATATTTTTGAGAGTGAATTTGTGAGTGAATTCATTTCCAAACATCTGGGACCAGAAAGCTTAAAATTCAGCCATCGGACCAGTAAGCCAAACAGACACACAAATGATTTCAATACAACCTCAGTTTAATTTGAGCATCCCAAGTGTACTCCAACCTATAAAAAAAAAAAAAAAAAAAAATCCTCCGTGCTGCAGTAGGTACTGTTCTTCCCCTACACAAAGATATCTTATACAACTGATAGTGACTGTTTTGTGAATTATTCAGAATACTTTTTTCAGTTTACAACATATGCTTAGCGCAAGAGCGAATTTGGGAACGTAGGCATTTCACAATTCTCTTAAGACTCAGGGTACATCACGTGGGTGTGTGAAACTCTCAAACATCAGATTATTTTTGACAATTTCTGGCACTTAAGTGTATTTCTTTGTTGGCATCTGAATATTGTGCGACATAGAAGTCTGGTTCCTTTATGTGTCCATGCTATACTTGTGAATGGTTGTGAATTTTAACATTACAAAGCAACCAGTAATTTTTACAGATGACTCACATATACTGCAAAACTCAAGGGAATATTTAAAAAAAAAAAAAAAATTTGAATATAACTGTACACCGTGTTCTTCCCACTTTGCTTTCTTTGTCCATGTCCTGATCCTGGCAGCTTAGAGGACTCACTGCCACAGCGGACACCAAATATGGAAATCTCACAATACCACAAGAGCAGTATTATCGCACGTGTGAATAAGGAAACCATTGATACATTGCACGGTGAAAGCTGCGAGATGACATTGGAGGAAGTGCTGAAAGAAAACCCTCTTACTGCTCGATGCTGTCAATGATAACAGAGGGGGCCGATCCGAAAACAAGACACCGTAAAACGAGTACACTTCAAAATAAAACTTTAAAATGAGTCTCCCGCTCAGTGTTCTTTTCAGTCGGTGCCTATCCACCGATGACAGCAGGACGCTGCACTTGATGAGCGACGGTTTATTCCAGTGCCGTTTAATCACATCCGTACCCACGACAGCAGGGGACACCTCTTTATGTACTGTTGCTCTTGGTTTGGTCGATTTATCAACAGAAACGTCTTGTAGCAAAAAATCGACTCGGTTTGAATCCACTTTGTTGGCAAAGCCAGAAGTCGTTGTGTTGGTGTGTCACAAATCGCCGCTGGTCGTGTGGCCGTCGCTTGGACCCATGGAGATGCTCTGTTTCTCACTCAGCGTCTTGACAACCGTCGCAGCAGGAGACTGGAGCACCTTCCGCGAAATTCTCATCCTGCCGTCTGTTGGGTCCCGTCCAAAGTACTTGACCTGTGAAGTCCAGTCAAGAGACAATGAGCCCAGAACGTGAACACAGGAGGCTACTTCTGACAACACAGCCTGTATTTAGTGACACGTACCTGTATCTGCTGTCCCACCTCTAAACCCAAAGCACTTGGATGTTTGATCTAAAAGAGGGAAATTACAAAGAAATTACCTTTAAGTAATGATTTCATTCTCAAACACAGACACGCAAGCAAACAAACCCACTGACCCGTTTGTGGTCCAGCTGTGAGTTGTGCAGCAGGACAGCACTCATGTTGGGATAAAGCTTCACCATCACACCAATGTCCCTGAAGCAGAGCAGGAAAAGGCTTTAGATGGTTTGATATATCCATTGATAATGAATACAATTCTACTAGGTAAACATGTTTAAACATGTAAATACTGTTTTACAGTCAACAATATATTGCTTTACCTTATCTCAATAATGGTGGCAGTGTAGATAGCACCAAACTCCAGCTGCTGCTCTTGCTGCAACACAAAGACACATGTTTGTTTATGCACATACACGCGTGCGGAGCCATGAATTTACACGCACGTGCAAACAGCCTCATGTTCAGACCACTGTGATATGGTGATACATGCAAGTGCTTTTTGTTGTGGGTTTAACTGAAGTTTTTCTACAATGTGCAGTGTGTAAAAGGCTCCTAAAAGCCGTGGAGACTCACATCATCTTTGCAGATCTCACTGATGAAGTCTTGGGCTTCATTCATGGCTCCTGGTGTTGGAGCGAACACAGAGAATGTCTCCTCGTCCATCTGACTTATTGTCACACCTCAAGAAGAAAAAAAAAAAAAAAAAATGTCTGTAATGTCTGTACTTCATTCACAAAGATATCATGATCCTGGTTGGTTTTCTGATTCAGTCATATATGAATTTTAAATAACTCGTTACCCGTTTGGGCTTGTAACCTGCGAAGATTGTAGCCGCCTGGACCGACGAAGCGAGCTCGTCTGGAAACAGGCACCCGGACATTTTCTGAAGACAGAATAAAACTCGCACACATCAGTTCCCTTTACACAGTAAAATGTGCATACCTGTGGAAGCCCAGTATTCATGTTAAATTATGAACCGATACTCGGCAGCTTGATTTGGCCTCCTGTCTTCATTGTGTCTAACCTCCAGCTGTCATCCCTACTTATCTAACTCAACTAGTCTAACACATAGTTACTAGTCCATGCGTGTACATACTCAACGGATGTTTAAACTCAAAGCTTACCAACAACAGGTCCATTCTCTTTCCTTGTCTCTCTGGGTTTTGCTGTACATTTGTTCATGATGCCCAAGATCTCCCTCTTTGCCACTGGAACATAATAATATTGAAACAAAGTCCATCAAGCCACCAAAAAACATGTTGACACGTATTTCTTTCTTTTAAATGTTCAGTTTCACCGCTCACCCGTGGCCTGCTGGATGGCCTCCATGACCACCTTCAGAGGCAAACCTGGGATCTTCACGTCAGCCTGGAGGTCAAATAAACGAGTGTAAAGGAGTGTAACATATGAACCAAAGGACAAAAGCTAAAGTAGCATTAAGAGCTCAACAAGTCAAGTCAGTTATATTTATACAGCCCGATATCACAATTCACAAAAAAACGGATATCTTTTCAGGTAAATATATTTCGCTTTCAGTGTCTGAGTGAAACAAAAAGTGTTTTTATGAGTTATCAGACACAGTACCTGTAAAGCAGTGATGCCCTTGTTTGTCCCTGCCAATTTGAAGTCCATGTCTCCAAGGTAGTCCTCTATTCCCTGGTGAGGAAACAATAATCAGCTCATATCCACCATCTAGGATATAATTCAGTGGGGGCATCAGTTAGAACGTTTTAAGGAATATGTCCTAAACTCTTTCTTCCTTTTATGAATGGTTAATCACACGTTGTACGTACCAGAATATCAGTGAGTAGTCTGTAGTCTTGCATCTCAGCAGGTTTCTCCGGGTTGGCCTTGGAGATGAGGCCAACTGCTACACCTGCCACAGCAGAAGAGATGGGAACACCTGGGAGACACAGATCGACATGTTAGCGACATATTATCACAGAAGCACTTTACTACATGTCAATAAAAACACTGAAACAGAACCCAATCTAGCGACCCTATCCTGGTTATCCATCTTTAATGTGTTTTTAAAAAAAAATAATATATGTTTTGTCAACTTTTATGGTGTGTTCAGTATTTATTAAGTGCACAATTAAAATATTTGCTACTGCAGTACGAATTTTAGATATCATGTAATTATAAACTGTTAATGCAACATAATTTAGATTACATATATATAAATCCTAGATATAATGGTCTGCTATATTGAGTTGTGTTGGAAGCTGCAGCATTAAAGTTAAGTAAAAAATAATAAATATGAACAATTTTACTGGAGATTATTAACTGTAAAAGAGTCATTTCATGCAGTACCTGCGTCCATTAGAGCGAGGCTGCCTGCACATGCTGAAGCCATCGAGGAAGAACCTGAGAGAAGATGAAGAGGATCCTGTCTGAGACATTCTGCCACACAGTGAACACATTTCCTGTGGTGCTTCTACTCTTTAGAAACTGTGTCACCAAACTCACCGTTTGACTCCAGCACCTCAGCAGTGACCCGGATAGTGAAAGGGAAGTCTTTAGGAATGACTGGTCTCAGTGCTTTCTCAGCCAGGGCCCCTGAACATGAACAAATACATACACATAAACATGAACAAATACATACACATACAGTACACACAAACACATACACGTCTATGTCCAGATGACTCTTGTTGGGAGTGAGTGGTCAGCAGACCCTGAATACAAGTAGAAGAAATTTAACACAAACCGTGTCCGAGCTCCCTCCTGTTGATGCCTCCCATCTTCCCAGTCTCATTGGTTGCATATGGAGGGAACTGAAATTAAAGGCAATGTTGATTTTAAAGTCCCAATGAAACGGTAGTTAGAGTGTCTTTAGCGTCTGTACTTTTACGCAGTCATTGGTTGAAATTGGGCGGTGAAGCACACTTCATATTTTGTTTTTTTACAGGAAGAAAAGGTGATTTAATTTTTATATTAACATTTCTTATTTGCATATATTGTTAAATATGCAAAACATGATCAGGGGTGTGGTCTAAAAGGATTAAAAAGACATTTTTCATTTCACCTCCACTTTAAGATATAGAATCATAGATCTAATAATCATAGTGAGTTTAAAAATGAAAACAGGATATGACTCACCTCATAATGAAGCATGAAATTTTTGGATTTGATGCCGCTGCAGAAAGAAAATGAATGGAAGACCTTGGTTACATTGTCTTTTATAGACTTTATAGGTTTAATGGTGTATGTTAGTCTGCCACACTGGATGAAGCCCTGTGTGCACTGACATTCAGGTATAGACAGATAATAAAAGAAGTAAGAGCCAACTGTATCTGAACTGTCCTGATAATGTCAACAGTATGAATTTACCTCAAAGCTGTGGTGATAATATCTGCCTTGACACTGGATTCCAGGGAATCAAACGTGACACTGCTAAGCACCTATAAAAAAAAATAAAAAAGGAAGAGGACCGAGCGTTCTTTGTTAAAAGACTAGAGCGGCTTTTGGTCCCCCTCCTCCTGCTATTGCATTCATTATCAAACACAGCATTTCATCTTTCAGTTGTAGAAAACACAAACAAACAACAGTCCTCTATCTCTTCCATCAAATTTGGACACAATGGTATTCTTCTTTCAACAAAATGTATCTTACAAATCTAGCTTCACTTGCTCCGTAGCTACCTGTGTTTGTCCTCTCTGGAACAGAGCTGAGCCATGCAGCGGTTTAAAGAGGTCCACATCGCAGGAAATGTTCCTTAAAGCCATCAGCTCCCTCCCATCACACCTACAACACGTCAAATAAAAAAAAATACAGTTACAAAGGCACATCCTGTGTCATGAGAATATACAGTAATGTCACAGCGGGCAGGGCTTACCTCTTGTACTCATTCAGCACTAAATTGCGGAAGACTTCTTTGCTCACAGTGTTGAAGGATTCAATGACTTCATAGGGGTCAGCCTGAGGGAACCTTTCTACACATGGAGGACATGAAATGACATGTTTCAGCTGACAGATTAAGTACACAGAAAATGTTATAAAGCTATTGTGTGAAGGGGGTTGCAACAATGCTTGAAAAACAGCTTACTTGAAAGTCTTTCCATGCAACACAAACACTGAAGATGATCTACCTTTTAGGTCCTCTTCCGTTTCTAGTCGGACTTTGTTGATTGCTTCATCTCTTGAAATCTAAAACAAGATGATGATGAGATTATTACTGTTACTAATCAAGAGGTACATAAACATTGTCGTATCACAGAGAAGAGAAACATTAGCGATTCTAGCTGCTTTAAATCAATTAAAGAAACAGAAAACTGACAGACAACATCTGGATGTGAGACTTCACCTTATCATGAGTGTAATCAGTGAAGACAGCATAGATCTTCTTGGAAGATGACCTGCGATGAAGAAAAGGAAAAGTTTTTAAAAATCCTGAATTTTGTTTTGTCTCATTTTGTAAATGATATTGAGTTTCATCACTGGTCTTACTGCCGAACATGCTCCACCATGTCAGTCGGGGCTGAGAAGACCTTGAACGTGCGCTTGGTGACCTTCTGTTCTCGCGCCAGCTGCTGGATGGCCAGTATGATCTGCTGGGTGTGTTTGACTCCCACCTTCACCGCGTGGCAAAAGTCCTGCTGCAGCACGTTCTCTGCCGACGCCTCGATCATCACTGGCAGACAGAGAGTCGCATCAAACAAAGAGTTGAAAGGGGGTTTAATAACCTGTGACACAGAGCTGCATATCTGTGGCGATGACATCGACACCTCAGGGAACTAAATATATCAACAGATATACATTACTCTCTGTACATTAAAAGGTTAGAATGGATTATTGCAGGCAGGGGACAAACTACCAGAATCCTATTGACCCAGAGCAGTAAATAAAGAGGTTGTGAAGCCTAAACTACTGTCAGCTGTTTTATTGAGTTTCCTTTTAGCAGAATGCTCGGCGTTAGAAAGTGCAGGCTTATTGCCCTCCTCTCCACAAGAGGCACCAAGCGGTGGTTCACTACACTTATGGTAGTACCTCCCACCTTATAAATAGAGGCCTAGATGAGGACTTCTTCCTCTTTGACTTTTACAGCGTTCGCCATCTTACCCACTTGACTGCTGGGAGCTCCGGCCACGATGAGGTTAAGAGTGCTGGACGTCATCTCTTTCCTAGTGGGGTTGATCAGCAGCTCTCCATCGACCATGCCCACGCGCACGGCACCTGAACAAAAGACGCACAAGCTAGATTTAATATAATGAACAACAACATTCCAGGAACTGAAGTTGAAGAGATGAGTGAAAAAAGGCATTAAAAAGGTCACTAAATGTAAATATGTGCAAAGGCCTAAATCTGTTATGGTGTGTTCCTCACCTATGGGTCCATGCCAGGGGATGTCAGACAGGGATAGAGCAGCAGACGCTTTGACAAAAGAAAATATTGTTTAAGCTAAGGATCTAAAACACTATTGCTCTGTGGAAAAACAAGGATGGCTGAGATTCAACTCACCTGCGTTAAGGGCCAGCACATCTGGATCATTGACGCCGTCAACTGCCAGCAGGTTACAAAGGACCTTCAGGAGACATGAACGTACACACACATGGACACACGTACACATTAATATCACCTTACTTCAAAAAGCAAAAAGCGAGTGAAACTATAACCACATAAGGGTAAAAAAAAAAACCTGAACTGACCTGAGTGTCGTAAAAGTAGCCATGAGGGAACAGCGGTCTGATCGCCCGGTCTGAGCAACATGAGGAAAGTATGAGTCACAGTTACAACATCAGCACACAGACCTGCTACATTAAAGGCATACACATCAAAAGACACATTCTTATCAACTCACCTATGAGTCTGCTGGTGAGGATCTCGTTGTCAGTGGTGCCCATCTCTCGCCTCAAATAGTTCGTGGGGATTCGACCCGCAGCAGCTGCTTTCTGTCTGTAGTCCACCTGTCAGTCAGAGTGGACGTTCATTCACAAATATCATCTTTCAAGTTTCTACTTCTGGTGAACAGAGTCACAGGAAACTGATGGGAGCCAGGCTGGACAACATGTTCTAACTACTTAATGATTCTTCAACCAAACCCATTTAGATTACACATACAGATGTAACAGGTTTTCACTGAACAAGCACAAAAAAAACGACACAATCACAGTCTAATAACAAAGACATGGTGGGAATTTTACTGTAATGTTAGAGAACATACCACAAGAGGCATGAACTGAGACAGAGAAGGTTTGGTTTTGCTCACAGCGGTCACCATCACAGAGGTATCGCCCAGCTTCAAAAAGAGAAAGCGGTTACCAAAAAAGATATAAAAAGAAAAGACATATAGCACCAAACATCTGGAACTGGCCGGTTTAGCCCGACAACACACTGAAGTCTTCTTCACTACATTTTAAGCAGTGAAGGACTACATGTGTGACTGACTTGTCTACCTGTTTCTATAGGCGCTCATGTACAGGGTGCATATTCCTAAATACATTTGTGTTCAACCAAACTATCATAAACAAAAGGTGAGTAGTGTTTTTTTGGGTTAATCTATGAGCTATTTGTACACTGGTCTTATGAATGTGAAACATACAGCACCAGAGCACGGACAGACACTTGATGGTGTAAATATAAATAGTAGACAGTAGAAGAAATGGTAAAACCACAACAATGAGGTCTAAAGTAAAATGCAAACATAGTATGAAGAATGTGGATCACAAAGGATGTCAAGCAACTTCCAGCTGCTGCCAATCCATACACCTGTTTGATGCAACTGTTGACATTGTTTTGTACCTGTACCACAGCAGATCCATCAGCAAATCTAGCAAACCTCCCTGAAGAGATCTCAAGTTTCCTACGGGAAAAAAGACCACAACACATCAAAAATGTCGTACAGACTAAAACCATGTATTACATGCAGTAAGGTGGCATCGTGTGACCCTGTGTTCTGGTTCCCAATACATCCCAGTAGTCTGTTCTAGGTCTGGTTAAGAGCTACATGAGAGAAAGTGAGGATCCATAAGCAATGAATACACTTTGACAGAGGGCAACAATTAGCTAGCAGTAAATAAATACAACTAAAATAAAACACGCCCTGTTTGTTAACGGTTACTGGAAGAGACAGTAAGCCGGGAAAGTCAACTTACTTCTCCCCAAGGTCCACTACCAGTCCTCGTGGATTTGCGTGGTTGCTGTAAACACTCTGGTGACATAAACGGACGTGAAGGCGTGCAAACGAGTGCCCGAGTTGGAGTAAATACCTCATATCTGCAGAAACACGAAAACAGAACAAAGAAAGGTATCGGGGTGACAGTCAGTGCCTTTACAGTTCGGATGCGCGCATGGGGGCTTCCATGTCAGTTAAGTCACGTGTGCGGAAGTATGTTGTAGAGACGCCTCTCCTGATTGGACCGACCAAGGTGCTTGGGTAACGTCAAAATGCAGAGCCGTATAAAGAGGGAGTCGCGTCAACGGAAGTTCAAAAACGCTTGATCGTCACGTGATTCATGTAGACTTCCGGTAGTTCCAGGAAGTACTTGGCGGGACATTTGAATGCGTAGATATTGGTAGGAATCAGTACAAACAGAGAAACAGAACTGCTATTTTCGACCAGGAGAACAGGATTATAAATTCTTTATGATTTAGATATAACTATATATTGTTTCTAGAGCAGCAACAGTAATGTTTACAACAACAATGTCACTATATAAACTCATGCTTTCTGTGCTTGTGTAAACGTAGTAGCAGTGGAAGAGAAACTGCTGACAGAGCCAAATTAATTAGGTTTCACTTTTGTTTACATGTTCATGCTTGTTGAACAGATTATGGATTAAGTATTGGCTTTTTATCGTGAACAGTAACGAGCAAAGTTGACTAGCGCCGTTACATTTTTGAAGCAGTCGTGGAAAAATGTCATGAATTTCAATAACGTTACATGAGCATGTTTGTTTGTTCTTGACCCCTTTGAACACTGGACTTGATGCTAAATTTGACGTTTTTCAGCTTCAATTCATGGAGTCTGACTTCAGAATGTCACATATGCAAAAACTTAGAGTGTCATGTGTTTCATTTCTTCAACATTCTTTTCAGGGATGTAAATAACTGATACTTGAATTGTCAAACATTTAATCCCTTTACCTACCAGGCTACATATGCTAGACAATTGTCATATGCTCAGAATGTATTTCTCAAATGTAAGAAAAAGAAATGTCAGTAACTGGTACACCTAAAGGCAATATAACTCAATTACCCATCTAATGTAGACATCTCTGGAAGTAGACTAATGTAAGAGAAGAGGTAGCAGCTGCTTGTGAGCCTCAAATAAGCCTATATTGTTTATCTATATTGTAATCCCTACCACTAGGTGTCAGGATTGCCTCATAAAGATCACCTTTCAGCTTGGAAGAACATTTATAAACACACTGATCAACCATGATGATAATTCATAATACATACATCATTGTATAACATAATTTAGATTGTGTAGATTTAGATCATTTGAGTTCATTTTTCAAGAATTTGTGGCTCTATTTTCATTGATTTGATCAACCACTGCCCACTTGAGTCTATATTTTATTCACATTGTCAAAAAGCTCCTCCAACTCTCCAAATGTTTCTAAAAAATGGATTCTATGTGCTTCAGAGAGTTTGTTTGACTGTCAGTTAATCAGTGACCTTGCTTCTTGTCCAGAAGTTACAGCTGACCAGCCAGACAGCCCTCCAGTCAGTCACTGAGCCAGCTCACTAACAGTGGGGATGCTGTAGTTGATATGGCAACAGATGAGTGTTAACAGCATCTCTAACACACTCTGGATTACTTTCCCACGTGCACACACTCCAGTTAATTGCAGGATTTCACACAGGCTCACACCCACTGAAAAACAGAAGCACACGTTCCCATTATTACCAAGGTCTCTACTGGTATGTTCTTGTTTCCATGGCTCCGGGACACATTGAGATCTCATTATTACCAAGCAGAGCCATGGGCTATTAGTGCGTAATGGACCGGTCTGTGCTTCAAGGATCATAAACGGCTTAGTGGAGGATGCTGCGTTTGCTTTGTCTTGAAGAAGCTTTGCTTTTCAGAGAATCTGCTCGTGTAAATGTCAATCGACCAACATAGAAATCAATCTGTGGATTGTCTGTATATCGATTCATTATTAAACCATCATTATCTCACAGAGCTCTCTGTGATCTTTCAATTTATTTGGACCAAGCTGTGTACAGAGGTGATTGATAAACAACCATGACAAACTAAAGAACACTAAATAAGTTCATACTAGACCATCTTCCATTGTTTGTGAATGTCAGTGATAACATTTTTGGAAACATTTGCAAACCACAGCAATTGGTCTTCAAAGTGATGAAACATGTGATTTTTTTAGTTCCTTGTTGTCATTTTCTTTGCCCAGGTTTGGAAATAATGTCATCAGTGTGTTAGCTCGGTCGCTTCAGGACTCAAGAGGTTAATGCTGAGGTGTTTCAGGAGATGACAACAGCACTGATCTCTGGTACGCTCAAATGAATACACACACACATTCATGCAGAACTTGGGATTTTTAGCAGGTGTGGGTTCTGAGGTTTTTCTGGGTTTATGTCAACCAGATGTGGCTGCGTCTTTAAAGGCAGACTATATCATTCTAAACATCATCTGACACATGTTTTTGTTTTTCCAAATTTTCTTGCAGAATTGCATTTGCTTCCAAATTTCCATGAACAGTGATGTTGGACATTGCCTGCATACGTCCTTTCCTGTTGTGGTAAGACTTATCTTTATCCTGTGTGTCACTGAAAAGACAGTAATTGGATCCGCTGATATGGACATGCACGAGCTTGAGGGAATCACCGTTTAGACAGCTAGCGACTTGAATTGGCAACGCATGGTTTCCTTTGTCACAAGCGTGGTAATTACATTTTGCACATGGCAAAGTTCCACATCATATGAGGTTCCACTCCCTCAGAAAAAAGTAGAGCAGAATTCCTCTTGCATAACTAACTTTCAACTATCATGAACTTCTTTCTCTTATGGTTGAAAAATATTTGCCCAGGGGCCATTATGTTCCTGTAATTGTACATCAGGTAGTATGTCACTGCTAATCCTCTATATAAAGAACATCAGCTTTCCATACACAGACAGGCAGATTAGCTTTGTCAGTATGAAGCTCCCATAATAAATTAACCTTCCAGGAACAGTCCAGGAACTAGAAAACGCCCAGTGAGTGTGTGTTTGTGTGTGTAGACACAGTGTCTGGATAAGAATGATGATTCATAGATGAGTGGATATATGTCTAAGAATGTATGATACAAGCACAATAAACAGCAAGCTGATGCATTATCAATCAACTTTAGGTAAGATTCAATGATTCATCAAGAACATCAAATATATATCCATTGACATAAAGACACATTGAAGGCTTTTTTTTTTTCCACTGAGTGTCTTTGTAATACTATTGTGGGTCGTGTTTCATGGCATAAAAGAAGAACAACGGTTATGGTAAAACCAAATTCTGTGATTTAAACAGTCAAAAGGTTCAGTTAGCAGAAATCAAAGAGTACAACTCATATGTTTAAAACACAAAAAGAAGATTTCAGTAGGGAGAATAACCTTTGCAGCATCAATGAAGCAGCCCGTGCCGCAAACAAAATCAATGTGTGACTAAAATTTGTTTAATTGCAACTCTGACCTCTGCTTTCCTAAATATTGGCTCCTTGCAGCGTTGCTGATCTAAAAAGCCTCCCAGGCCAGAGGGCTGATGGAGAGATTCAAGGCTTCGAGGCCTCGACTGCAATCACTCGACTGATTACTTTTTGGTCCCAAACCTCGAATCCAGAGCTGTCATTAAGGCTCATCCTGAGAACCTCTGACTCTGCCGTGGCTCATGACGGGTTAAACAATCTAGAGAAAGCACAGCTTTGTGTTTGAGTCGGGAGAAAGGAGAATTACATTGCTACCATGTATTTCTATGTCTTTATTTATTCTCTCTGAGTTAAAGGATGCATCAGAATTTAGAGGATGCAGAGGATTGGGACACACACATCCTTGTTGCCCTGTAATGAATTAGGCTTTGACTCGACCACAGGGGGTCTTAATCCTTTGAACTGGAGATTTGACAGTCAGGCATTGATTTCCCATATACTGTAGCAGCACTACAGGACGGAAACAAACAGAGACATAGAGGACGGTCAGAGTGACCGCTGCTGCCAAGATAGAAGTCAGACCTTTAAATGATTTAGTCAATCTTGAAAGGCAGGAGTAATGTTTGATGGTCTATGACGTAAAAGGTGTGTTTTTATGTGCTGTTGTTTCTATGAAGATATGTTAATATTGCGAGGTCCGAAGCAAGATATCTCTACAACTACTGATCAGATTACCATTCAAATTATTTCATGATGATACATAAGGGCACGATCATGATTTTGGTCGCCCTGGACATTGTGTCAAACTCGATCTTTGGTTCAGCATGACAAGAAAACTCAGTAAATACTGGCCAGATTGCAATGAAATTTGCTATAAATACTCATCGTCACCACAGGATACAGCCAAATATTTGTGATGCAATAGTTTTGACCATGTCATTTTCAATATGGTCAACAGAAATCCATTAAATGTGCGGTTTAACTCAGAATATGCCGTTTGGATTTGACTCATCAAATTGTACTTATATTATTCTTATTAGCATATTAGAGGAAGTCAAAACCAGCTATATGTTTCTCAAAGAAAGATGAAATGGTAAAAGCTCAAACTATTCTGTCAGCCCACCCTGCATTCAAGACCACATGAGATCAGCACAGCTCCAAATCAAAAATTCTTGTGGTCACTCGTAAATTCCAGTGAAATAACTAACAGGAAACTGCAGTCTTGTAAAGAAGACAGAAAGACAATTTCATCTAAGAGAGGAGCTGGTTGTTCAGAGAGAGAATGTTTCATTTGTTATGGATTTCACAGCAGCTCTGCTTCATGATTCCTTCATATTCTTGGGCCGGATTAATACCAAGAGGAAATATCTCCACGTGTTTCCATGTGCAAACTGGTTCTGTCGAGTTTGAGCCAAAAGAGGCGGTCGGTGGGTTTCCTCTATGTGGTTTTGCCTGCTTTCATATAGCTGAGTGTGTGTGTGTGTGAGGAATGCTGCTGTGGGTCTCTACAATCCCTGAGTCATGAGGTGGAGGTGGACGGCGCTTTGTGAAAAAAGTTCTTAAAAGCATTATGAATAATAGATTTTAATTAAACAGGCAGGAGCACACACCCTGTTCAATCCAAGGTTAATGAATCCCACACTAAATAAATCCTAACACACAATAAACACGCTGAGCTGTACAAAATATCCACCTACCCCCCCCACAGTAATAGAGCAGAGCATGGTTGTGTTCAGACTGCTGTGTTCTGATGAGCAGCAGGCACTGTACACGAGCCATGAAAGGTTTTCTTTATCCACGTCAGTGTTTAATTGTGTGACGGGGTGACGGGGTTAGACGTGAGTGGGTTGCCACAGAAAAAGGGCTATAGTTGATTTGAAACAATTTGATTTGAGTAGGCCCTGAAGCAAATTACCCATTTTATTTTTCACATCATTAAGATAAGATAAACTTCATTGATTTCTAAGGAAATTGAATCATTGGGAGCAATGGGCAAGGAATGAAGCCCTGAAAACCTATTCACACAATCAGCTTCTTATTCTGAGCAACATTGTCAATCAAATCTGACAAAACCACACTCACACAGTCCTGATTAAGCAGATTAGCTGAGTTTTTAAAGGTTAAAAGGCTTTAAAAAATATAACTAAGTATTAAATGTTCGAGAGACATATGAGAGTATGTAGAGGAAACAATACATTCTTCTTCCTACAAACGGAAAGTTGAATTCATGAGCAATAAAACACACTTAATTTAATACACGTTTACCTTTACAGCACGTTACAATGTCAGTTTGCTAACTTCATGAACCCTCTCTCCTTGTGCTACTGTTATACTGCATTCAAGCTCCATTCTCCTGTAGTTGCCACTTGTGGCAAGTATCTTGGTAGACTCGTCACACATTTGGAGTGAAGAAAGTATTCTCCAAATGGCAGTTTTGCAGTGCAAACATGTCCGATCTTTCATCAAACAAGCTTACCTGTGTAGATACAGGTGGCCAAAGATACAATCAGACAAAAAAACGCATGTGACTTTGACTTCTTCACCTTGACGCCATATCTAATGAGCATTTTTGCTGTCTGCAATTTAATGTCTAGCTAAAGATGTAGACTTGATTGGGACAGTGACAGCCAAATAGAGAAAATAAAACCCCTATTTTGACAGATTTTGGCCTACATTGGCATGTTGTAACCTCCCGATGTGAACTCCCTGAGCTTACAACCCTCCAGTCAAACACGTTCTACAGAACACAAGAGACAACAGGTCTAGTCAGGATCTCATATACTGTACAGCCTCAAGCTGAAGTACCAACCACAACAACCGTTACTCTAAATGCAAATGAGAGCCTCTGCTTATCCAGGAGAGCTGCTGCTGGAATGAGGCTTATTATAGGTTTTAGGGGAACATACAATAATCTATTTGTTCCTGAGAGGTGACCCAGGTCCCCAGCTCCCAAATCAGTGATTGTGTTTTCATTGGCTATTTGGTCACACGGCCCCTACTCCCTCTTCACACCGACAGAGCCATTCATCAATTGTTGATGAGGTGTCTCCTGAATAGGCAATGACTGTGGGTCTATATGATTCATTCATTACCTTGCTGCTGATGCAGCTATAAGAAATACTGTGTTTAAAATAACTGGTTGCTGGTATAATTAGCGCATTCTGCAAGAGCTTTGATACACAATCATAATATATCATTATTCAATTTACCATCATATATAACAGAAAAATCAACAACTCTGAAACTGGAAATAAGTTATATTTGCATTTTTTAGGGAATTATCAAATTGGGCAATTATCAAAATAGTTTCAGCTCAAGGGTCATTTCACTATGTGTCCCAGGTTACTCAGAGTTTCCTCGAGTATTTAGTCCTGCATTGTACACTGTTGAGGTTGTCCCTCTATTTTGCCAAAATGCCATGTGATGCATTTCCACAAAAGGGAAGTGCATCATGTGAGTTTTATATTTGACTGGACATTATCCACTAGGTGTCAGTAGACTTCTTGCTTGCTGCTTTAATGTAGCCTACTGCATGCAGTAAATGCAGACAAAAGGTATGCATGCGCTATACTTGCACAGAAATAAAACAAGCAGAAAAATGTTTAGCATACCATTGCATATAAATTGCAGCACTATAGAGCTGCACTTAAACCTATTCCCTGTCCATTTATCTCTCCATCATTCACTAAAAACATGTCTGTCTTTCCAACACTGCTCTTCAAATACATCTAATAGATGACTAACTATATTTTTTTTTTTTGACGAACAGACTAAATCTTTATGGAAATTGATACTTTCATCGTTGCCCTATTTTTCTTTTATAGCAGAAGGGGCGGAGGGAGATGCAGAGGAGAGGGGCGGTACTGAGTGTCCTCCAGTCATCCTCTCACCTCCCTCTTTTCATTCGTATGCTGCATTTGAAAGGAGTCAGACAGGGAGGAGAGACCAGTAACCGGTTCACAAATTACTTCACAGTCAATTTTTTGAGGAGTAAACAGACGATTTTGAAAACAGGAACTTAAAATTCTGGACTTGTTTTTCTCCCCCCGCCGCACTGGATATGTTCTTTTATTTAATCATGTCGGAGGAATATTTCTCTTAACGTTAATTAGCCTCTGTGAGACCCTTTTTTCTTCCAGAGCCAGCATAAACCCATACCTGGCTCAGGTCAGGTATAGTGCATGTTAGAAATAGAGAATATCTTTACCTAATGGCTTAAACAAATACAATGTAATTAATTCTTCTTCAAATGAGGTAGCCAAGCCCAACCGCTGGCATCTGAAACAGCTGTGTCGCGTCGAGAAGATTGTGGATTATTATTTTTTTTTCTCCCCCCACCACCTCCCCGAATACCTCCCCAAGAAACCACGGAGCCGGTTTTTTGAGTGGCCAAAATGAGCGTCGGTTTAATTGAATCAACTACATGAGTGGAGTCAAAACAAACATATTTCTCTCCGGGAGTGCACCTTTTTTTTTTTTTTTAAACGGCGCCAGTCTCCCTGGTAAAATATGGAAAGCGAGGTTTTCACGCCTTTGCTGGAGCAGTTTATGCTCACGCCTCTGGTCTGCTGGGTGAGCGCCCTCATTCGCTATTCACATGTGTATTAAGCTCACTAATTAAACACCCCATGCATTTATTTTGAACGTGTTTATTGATTGTCTTAAACCTCTTTGCGTTGTCCCATTTATTTTGCAGGTGAAGACAGTCGGGCAGGCGACTCTGACCGATGGCACCCAATTATCGGAATATATTGAATTAGTGGATGGGATTTACCTGAACCAGATAATGCTCGAGATGTAAGTAATCTGACACACATTCAGAAATGCTACAGACCAACATCCCCTGCACCAGGATTGGTCATGTAAGAGCATGCAGACCTTTGCTTGGGATCTCAAATGCATGATGTATACACCTCAAAAACCTGCATGATATAGTGGTCACTATTAATAGTTAGATAAGTAGATGTACAGTTGTGTGAAAAAGTGTTTGCCCCCTTCCTGATTTCTTATTTTTTTGCATGTTTGTCACACTTAAATGTTTCAGATCATCAAACAAATTTAAATATTAGACAAAGATAACACAAGTAAACACAAAATGCAGTTTTTAAATGAAGGTTTTTATTATTAAGGGGAAAAAAAATCCAAACCTACATGGCCCTGTGTGAAAAAGTGATTGCCCCCCCCTGTTAAAACATAAATTAACGGTGGTTTATCACATCTTTGGAAAGCTGAGTTCAATTTCTCTAGCCACACCCAGGCCTGATTACTGCCACACCTGTTCTCAATCAAGAAATCACTTAAATAGGACCTGCCTGACAAAGTGAGGTAGACCAAAAGATCCTCAAAAGCTAGTCATCATGCTGCGATCCAAAGAAATTCAGGAACAAATGAGAAACAAAGTAATTGAGATCTATCAGTCTGGAAAAGGTTACAAAGCCATTTCTAAAGCTTTGGGACTCCAGCGAACCACTGTGAGAGCCATTATCCACAAATGGCGAAAACATGGAACAGTGGTGAACCTTCCCAGGAGTGGCCGGCCAACCAAAATTACCCCAAGAGCGCAGCGACGACTCATCCAAGAGGTCATAAAAGACCCCAGAACAACATCCAAAGAACTGCAGGCCTCACTTGCCTCAATTAAGGTCAGTGTTCATGACTCCACCATAAGAAAGAGACTGGGCAAAAATGGCCTGCATGGCAGAGTTCCAAGACGAAAACCACTGATGAGCAAAAAGAACATAAAGGCTCGTCTCAGTTTTGCCAGAAAACATCTTGATGATCCCCAAGACTTTTGGGAAAATACTCTGTGGACTGACGAGACAAAAGTTTAACTTTTTGGAAGGTGTATGTCCCATTACATCTGGCGTAAAAGTAACACGGCATTTCAGAAAAGGAACATCATACCAACAGTAAAATATGGTGGTGGTAGTGTGATGGTCTGGGGCTGTTTTGCTGCTTCAGGACCTGGAAGACTTGCTGTGGTAAATGGAACCATGAATTCTGCTGTCTACCAAAAAATCCTGAAGGAGAATGTCCGGCCATCTGTTCGTGACCTCAAGCTGAAGCGCACTTGGGTTCTGCAGCAGGACAATGATCCAAAACACACCAGCAAGTCCACCTCTGAATGGCTTAAGAAAAACAAAATGAAGACTTTGGAGTGGCCTAGTCAAAGTCCCGACCTGAATCCGATTGAGATGCTGTGGCATGACCTTAAAAAGGCGGTTCATGCTCGAAAACCCTCCAATGTGGCTGAATTACAACAATTCTGCAAAGATGAGTGGGCCAAAATTCCTCTACAGCGCTGTAAAAGACTCATTGCCAGTTATTGCAAACGCTTGATTGCAGTTGTTGCTGCTAAGGGTGGCCCAACCAGTTATTAGGTTTAGGGGGCAATCACTTTTTCACACAGGGCCATGTAGGTTTGGATTTTTTTTTCCCCTTAATAATAAAAACCTTCATTTAAAAACTGCATTTTGTGTTTACTTGTGTTATCTTTGTCTAATATTTAAATTTGTTTGATGATCTGAAACATTTAAGTGTGACAAACATGCAAAAAAATAAGAAATCAGGAAGGGGGCAAACACTTTCTCACACAACTGTACATCTACTTATCTAACTATTAATAGTGAATCGTTTTTGCTTGGTCTTTGGGAGTGGACGAGAGACAACAAATGACACCCTGGGGCCTTCAGTGTGGTCATCCCCACATGACCAAATTAAGCATTTCATCAAGAGCTCCAGCCTCTGTCCAGCACTTGGAAATTGTCTGCTGAAGTGAATGTAGGCTACGCACAAAGGGGACCTTGTATTGGGGGCAATCATGGGTCATACTGTCAAAAAATCTTTGCAGACAGTTATTGTCAGCATCCCTTGGAGCTGTGTCTGTTTGCTCTCACAAGCATCCGTGCTGCAAAGAGGCAGCAAGCAGCTCCACAACCTCCAGTAGCCGTGTGTGTGTGTGTGTGTGTGTGTGTGTGTTTCTGTTTCTTTCCAGTCGCAGAAGACTGTCATCTGCAGCTGACTCTGGGAGACGCATCGCTCCTGGAGGCTGCAGAGCTCACGTTTCCTGCTGTGCTGCAGATTAACAACTAGAAATAGTAGCCTTAAGCGGACAAACACTGGAAGCAGTGCAGAATCTGGATGCAGATTACACAGCGATGCAGATCCTTCATTAATGTAGCAGGCCAGCACGGACACATGTTTGTTGTTACTCAAGTAAATGGGAAGTGGATGCTTTGGCAGATCTCTTTATTTTCCAGTCACCTCCTAACATATAGCATGGCAGCAGACAGCTTTCCATTCCTTTGTCTGGTTTAGGGCTGCTACTTCCCGCTTGCAGGGCAATTTATTTCATATTTTCCACTAATGCCACACTCTACACTGTCAGCATTTACTCCGACTGTTTGCCTGATCCCAGTGGAATTGATTTTCACCTCAGAAGAGATTATAATGTAGTTTCATAGCCGAACTTCTTGTGTCACCTTCAGTGTCACTCGTATTCCAAGGTTTGATTTGCAGAACTCTCTCTGTGAGGGGACGCTTGTCTTCTGCACAAGTGTGTCTCTGTATTTCTACATGTGTTTACCTCAGTGTATTCAGAGTGAATTGTTTTTATAAGGGTTAAGCTGTAGCTGTGTTGTGCATGAGGAGCTGATTAACTCCGACTGGCCTTTTCCTGCCTCTGGTTGGTGTCCTCTTCCTCCCGCTCTGCCCTCGTTCTCTGTCCTCGACCTCCTGCTGCTGCGCTGCATCACTCCACTAAGCCGACTACCTTCAGGTTTCAACTACGTCTTCGACCTCTCTTTCCCATGCTCGTGTGTCCTCCTACTCGTCCTCCTCCAGGCTGTGTCTCTACTCCTCAGAGGAATCCTTCAAATCAGAAAGGTGTTGAAGGAGGCCATTGCAGGTTCAGTTGGACAAGGGCGTTTTTCCTCTTCCACACACGGCCTCTTGAAAACGATTAACAAGTCATCAGTATTTTTAGAGCATTTTCCCCCTTTGGGAGATTGTATAGCGGGAAAGCAACCGGAAGGATACGAGGGGGAAGGGCTGGAAGCATGAGGGAGACAGAAAATTATATTTCCAAAATGGTTGAAAACCTTAAACACAGCAGCAAAGATACACAAAGAAAGAGCAAGAGGGCGACATGCAAAAAAAACCTAAATTCAAGCCGCGGTTTGCCACATGGCAACGCCTCAGATCTACATATCAAGACCGAGATGTTTGGGAACAGGCACTCAGTAGGATTTCTGTCTGCAAATAAGTGGAATGAGCTTTACGGGAACTTTGTGTGGTGTGTGGAGTGAACTCCTGTACGGAGCAGCCAGTGTGGAGCTGAAATGAACTGTGACTGGCTTAGTGATCGTCTGACAGGATGTCGGGGATTGCCAGTCACTGCCAGCTCTGTTTATATTTGTGTGTGTGTGTGCTTTTCTGTGGGGCTTCTCTGTGTGTGCGTGGGAGTATGTGTATCTGTGGGCGTTTTCTTTTTTTTCCTATGCATTTTCTTTTGGACTGAGGCAGCTGTTGGTAGTCGTCTTGCCCAGCCGCCCTCCCACACAAAAGGCCTACAGTGTCGGTCAGACGTTACATTGGTGAGACTGCTTTTTGTCTGCCTCTCCCACTGTTACCAGCACCACGTGGTCACCTCCAGTAAGCTGAGCTAACTGAAATACACTGTAATAAGCTAAAATATATGCATCTAAGCCACAATTGCAGGGAGTTTTAGATGATGGCCTTCCTCAAAGACATGCGCCTTGTTCTATTTTCTTAAAACTTGTTATTGGGGGTGCACCGATCTGACTTTTTTAGTCCCGATAAAGATACCTTGGCGGCTTTGGGTGTCAGCCAATACCGAGTACTGATCCCATAACAGGATTGCGTTGTTAACCTGTAGGTATTCCTCACTGTGTGGAAGTGATTGGGATCTTTCTTCTTTTGTATGTAAGGCAACATCAGTCTTGACTTAAACATTGGCTTCCTAACTTGCTTTTCCTAGCCCGATATTGGTATCTGTGCATGATATAATTCAGTATTAAAAGACAGAAATGTAGTTGAAACAGGCCTCAAGTTTAGTCACATTTCTTGCTGTATGCTGGCTGGAAGAATTACACGAGTGTTGAGAAATGCCTCCTTCCCTCTCATCTCTCTCTTACTCATTAAAAGTAGCTAAACCACATGACAGTTTTCCAACTTCTTTGAGGGACTGTAGTCGATGATTAACGGGGATTGTATTCATTCCAGGTCTCTGGCTTCCTACAAACACACTCTCACTTACTCTGTTTTTTCTCACCCCCTCTGCTCTGACAGCTTGATATATTTCGTAGTGAATGTTGGTTGGCATTGCCCTGCTTGCGTTTGATCATTTCCTGCTAAAAAAAAAGGCTCCGCTGCTGTTGTGTCCAGTCGATACTGTTTACACTGGAAAAAAAATAACAATTAGAGTTCAGCACCATTTAATAAAATGGTCTCTGCTGCTAAGAAACACACAAGTCTTCCAGAGTGGAGGATGAAACTCCAAAGATATAAACACATTAGTATATTGTTTAACATGGTTCACCTAATTTACCTAAAAATATTTTTCCTCTTTCTCTTTCACAAACTCACACTAACGGTCCTCTGGCTGGAGAAACTTGAGCGTTTAACATTTTTGCTGGTGATGTCAGCTGTTGTAGTGTAAGCTGTGGCGTTGCTGTGTGCACGTCTCTGCGAGGCTTTAGTGTCGACATGGCAGACAGGCTGGCAGCAGTTGTCATTGAAACAGCATGGGAGAGCATGGAGGGAGAAGAAGAGAGACC